CATTAAATAGGGGTGTTTCCTAAAACACTGAAATGAATTTAGGAAGGTTGTGGCATGTCTGCCTATGTAAATATAGAGTAAATATTCTACATATCACACAAGGTATGGGACAGTATATTAATTTCTGGCTATTTTGCTATAAAAAATGCTTACTCAAGTGCATAGAAATAAAATATACATATGGAATTGTCACTCCCATATGAAAGTTAGCCATATACCAAGAATTGTCTTGCAAAGCTAACAGACTATCTCCTATTTCCAGTTGGGCTATAGATATTTCTCTCTTGCATTTTAACATTTGTAGGTGTGTAGTAAGGTTTTTAGATCCTGAGAACTTTATGTACACCATTTTCTGGCAACAGAGCAGAGTTGAGAGGGAGCAACTGTTGATGTCTGACTTCTAAGCTTATTACCCAAGGACCTGGAACCCAAGATCTCAAGGTGAATATTAAATGCGCTTGTCAGTAGAAAGGTAAACATGTCTCTTCTCTCTCCTGGTACAGGTAGAAATACCTTCCTTTTTGTGTATCTCCCAATGTTAGAGACCATTTGTTTGCAAAACAGCAACACATTCAGGCAAAATCCTTTTCTTTCTTTAAAGACTAAATATTAGAAAAAAGGCTAGGCAACTCAGACAAGGTGAAAACTTCTTTTTAAGATTAGTTAGAACTCGAATTCTCAGTTGCTGTGTGTCTCTACCCACCCACTTCCAACAATTCCCTAGTGATAATATATAGGAAGGGGATCTATAAAATTCCACATCATGACAGCCATTTAAGAAGTAACTGACATGGACATAGGAGGTCTTTAACTGTGAAAAGCATGGTCACTTTTAAAGAATTCTACCAAGACATCTCCTGCCTAGAAGGACACAGCTGAGTGGGACATGGCCATGCATGGGACTACACAATGGTATAAAGTATGAATTTTTGAATAAGAGTATTAAAAAGAACAGATTTAGTGTCCCATCCTTCTCCCCCAATCCAAGTGTCTCTGGATGAACTGGCCTCTGTGGTGGCGCCCGTACAGGGCAAGCATGACATTTTTATTTCCTGTAGGAGACAAAAAGGACTCCTTTTGTTCTTTGCTTGAATTTTGGAGGCCACACAGACCCCTTAGGTTTGTGGTCAGTGGTATTCATGGTGACTTTGGTTATGGGTGGGTTTAATCCTGTGACTAGAAATCAGGATCATGTAGCAAAGCAGAATCCTTCAATTAACATCCTGAACATTACTGGTTAACCCAATCTTGGGTGAGTTTGTAGATTTTTTGTTAAATGCATCCATGTTTAAATGAAAATTAGTCTCCCTGGGAAAAGATGAGTTCCCTTATCTAAATTCTTACTAATGAAAGTCACAAGTGTTTTAATAATGTACACAGCAAATGGAAGTAAGATAGCCATAATGATAATGCTTTATGAGAAAATCAATTAATGAGGAACAGTAAGAATGAAGTGCTGAATTCTCCTTGCCTTGCCATCGGGGAAGCAATGTGTTCAGTGGAAGAGAGTAATTGATCAGACTCAGGTTTTTTCCTTTTTCTTGGCTCTGCTGGGTCTTCATTGCTGCTTGGGCTTTTCTCTGCTTGTGGCCAGTGGGGACTACCCTCGAGCTGCCATGTGTGGGCTTCTCGTTGCAGAGGCTTCTCTGGTTTAGGAGCACAGGCTCTGTGGTGCCTGGGTTTCAGAAGCTGCAGCACATGAGCTCAGCAGCTGTGGTCCCCGGGCTCCATAGAGTACAGGCTCAACAGCTGCGGGACACAGGCTGACTTGCTAAGCGACAAGTGGCATCTTACTGGATCAGGGATGAAACCCATGTATCCTGCACTGGCAGGTGGATTCCTTACCACAGAGTCATCAGGGAAGCCTCAGACTCAGATTTACTTCAGCTGACAAAACATTTACCCTCTCAGCTTCAATTTTATCACTTGTAAAATTGGGATGACAATTATTATTTGTGTTATATGCAGAAATAAGGAAATTTACATTACATAAAATGGTTCAGTTCGTAACTCAGTCGTGTCCGACTTTTTGCGACCTCATGAAGCGCAGCAGGCCAGGCCTCCCTGTCCATCACCAACTCCCGGAGTTTACTCAAATTCATGTCCATCGAGTTGGTTATGCCATCGAGCCATCTCATCCTCTGTCGTCCCCTTCTCCTCCTGTCCCCAATCCCTCCCAGCATCAGGGTCTTTTCCAATGAGTCAACTCTTCGCATGAGGTGGCCAAAGTATTGGAGTTTCAGCTTCAGCATCAGTCCTTCCAATGAACACCCAGGACTGATCTCCTTTAGGATGGACTGGTTGGATCTCCTTGCAGTCCAAGGGACTCTCAAGAGTCTTCTCCAACACCACAGTTCAAAAGCATCAATTTTTTGGTGCTCAGCTTTCTTCACAGTCCAACTCTCACATCCATACATGACCACTGGAAAAACCATAGCCTTCACTAGACGGACCTCAATTGGCAAAGTAATGCCTCTGCTTTTTAATATGCTGTCTAGATTGGTCATAACTTTCCTTCCAAGGAGTAAGCGTCTTTTAATTTCATGGCTGCAGTCACCATCTGCAGTGATTTTGGAGCCCAGAAAAATAAAGTCAGCCACTGTTTCCATTGTCTCCCCATCTATTTCCCATGAGGTGATGGGACCAGATGCCATGATCTTAGTTTTCTGGATCTTGAGCTTTAAGTCAACGTTTTCACTCTCCTCTTTCACTTTCATCAAGAGGCTTTTTAGTTTCTCTTCATTTTCTGCCGTAAGGGTGGTGTCATCTGCATATCTGAGGTTATTGATATTTCTCCTGGCAATCTTGATTCCAGCTTGTGCTTCTTCCAGCCCAGCGTTTCTCATGATGTACTCTGCATAGAAGTTAAATATACGGGGCGGTGGCTGAGAGGAGCAAGCCCACATCCAAGGAGCGGCTGCTGCACAGGCGCAGGAGGGATGAGAGGAGCTACTCCACATTCAAGGTCAGGAGGAGATACCCTCGTCCAAGATAAGGAGCAGCGGCTGCACTTTGCTGGAGCAGGCATGCAAAGATACGCCACATCCAAGGTAAGAGAAACCCAAGTAAGACGGTAGGTGTTGCGAGAGGGCATCAGAGGGAAGACATACTGAAACTACAATCACAGAAAACTAGCCAGTATGATCACAGAACCACAGCCTTGTCTAAGTCAACGAAACTAAGCCATGCCGTGTGGGGCCACCCAAGACGGACGGGTCATGGTGGAGAGGTCTGACAGAATGTGGTCCACTGGAGAAGGGAACAGCAAACCACTTCAGTATTCTTGCCTTGAGGATCCCATGAACATAAAATGGTAGTGACATGTAAACATAGCAACTTAAAAAAAAAAAGGTGGTGTTAATTCTCTGGCCTTTTTTTCTCTCCACTCATTTGGAATTTTGGAAATTCAAGTTAAAGAGTAAAAATGAAAGAAATTTGTATCTGGACATCAGTTTTATTTTTAATAGATTTCAAGTTGTCTACTTGTGTCACTGAGAATAGGGTATTTATTTGGGAGTGAAGGCATGAAAATTAAGGGGAGAAAATGATGTGCAAACAATAACTGCTGTAATTATAAAAGTTTTATTTCACTCTTACTTTAATTAAATCTTCATAAGCACCATGTCATGAACTGGCAATCTAAAAAGAGGATACTGGAATGCTTTAGTCAATAACAAACTGCAAGCTGATGATGTGAAGTTACAGCTACACGGAGCATGTGTACAAGACCACATTTAAAAAGGTTCACTTGAGAATCCCATGATGATGCACAAAATAGGAATCTGGCATCGATTCGTTCACACTTTGCTCAGAACTCAAAGCTTGGGCATGTAAACATCAAAAGAAACACTGGATCACCTTGACAGTTTACAGTTTGCTAACACTTGACTGTAGAAGCATAAATGTTGCAGTTTTGATTTTTTGACCAGTGCTTGGGCATAGGCTGAAAAGACCAATCCCTTTAAAATTTAAATGATGGTTAAAGATATGTTCAACATTACACAAGTCATCAGCAAGGCCTTTGAATGTCTGCAGTTCTTATAATGATTACCAAACCATACTGACCTAAGGAAATCATGAAAAATTATATATTTTCAGCAAAATGTTTTAATTTGGTCCTACATTAAAAGACCCAATTGCCAAGGTGTTTTACATAAATTTAATTCACAAGCATGTACACAAGAGAATCACTTTAAAGAACATTGCTTCCTGATTTATGAATTAAAAAGTTTATCCTCTACTTACACTAAACATACAAAAAATAATCTACAAAAATTGTTTACAATTGATTTTAGTGAAAGAAAAACCTTTCTTCAAAAAAAAAAAAAAAGATTGTGTGGTGGTAGTATTTTTCCCATCAAAAAAGGAATGTAAGTAACCAATAAATATAATGTGCTTTCTCCATATAGACATATTTACACTTGAGTCTTTGGCTTATGGTTTTTTTTTTTTAGAAAGAACTTTAAATGATCCAGCCATCATTGCACATTAAAAGAAAATAAGCCAGTTATATATATTTATATATTTATATAGAGATCTGCTACACTTGAAACATATAAAAAATGAACTTTCCTATGAATTTGCACAACTTTTCTTTCTTCTTCCTTGAAAGTTTTAACATCTTTTATCTGAAAAAGGGAGAAAAATGCCACAAAGGAAGTATTAATTCATGCAACACGTGGTGGCTGCTATACCAAAACCAGGAGAGGAAACGCTGCCTATTCACTGTACAAACACTGGTAAGTTTTCATGTGAATCTGCTGCTTATTAAATATAATTTATGTGGCATGAAATGTTGATGCTCTCATACAGTAATAGAAACTAATGAGTCCTTTTTATTAAGATACACAACTTCATAAGAAAAATACTTTTACCTCTCAAATGTAAAAGTCTCCCGCCCCCCACATTAAAATCTTTCTGCACAGGTGTGACAGGTACAACAGCTGCTGGCTCAACAGATGAATGGGTTCTGTTGGGGTGTACTCGGAAGTCTCCCCCAACTAAGATGACTCTAGATATTCCAAAGCCACATCGTAGCAGAAACGGTACTGCTCCTGAAAGATGTTAAAACAAAAAGGTGGAGTGAAGTCAAGAAAAAGGCAAAGAATGGAGAACAGTTGTTGTCAAATGAATACCTGGCATTCAATTTAGATTATTCAAGAATTACGAACTTTTTTATCCCCATAGACAAGTTTAACATCAAGGCATATATTATTTTACATTTGAGTCTAATGATTACTGCTTAAGAAAAAGGAAGTTGATATAAAAATATATGTTGTCTTTGACTCATATTCTGTATCAAATTAAAAAAATGGCAGTATTGCTTATTTGATTATAACAGTAATACCTGATCAGTACAGAAAAATTTCCAAGTATAGAAAAAGATTACAAATCAGAAAAAGTTTCTATAAATCTATTATCAGAAATAATTGTTTTAAAATACTACCTTAGTTTCAGACCATTTTTATGCATGCTTGAAATAGTATTTTAGAATAAAAATAATTGCATACCTATATTTGAGGATATATTTTATATTTTACTTTCTGTTGTTTAGTATTGTTATGTATTTTTTCTCATGTTATTTAACACCTCTTTTAATATACATAAAAGTCTAATATATGAATTGACTATAAGATGACGTTTATTTTTTATTAATTTTAAATAATCTTAGAGTGAACATGTAAGTAATTTTTCTCCACACTTTATGTATTTTCCTTAGTGGTATAAATAAGCCAGTTATTTCAAACTGCCATTCCACAATTTCAAATTCTTAATTTCTTTTTCCAGTTTTATTGAGAGGCAATTGATATACAGTACTGTTCACGTTTAAGGTGTACAGCACAATGATTTTACTTACATATGTGAATATCTAAATTCTTAATTTCTGACATAGTCTTTGTTCCATCAGAGTATTTAATTAAAAGTTTCAAAAATGGTTAGTGGTTCCTAACTTTTTCTGAGCTTACTTTTATCAGAAAAATTATTTCTTCTGCCTTTATTAAAGATAACTTGGCTGACAATAAAACTTTTTTGAGTTAAAACTGTTTTTCCTCTCAGTCCATCTATATGTTGCTCCATTATGAAGAATTTAGAAAAATTCAGAGACTGCATTACAAATTATGACTCATAACATGTATTAAAATCTTCTCAATTCAGTCCAAGTGGGTAAAATTCAGACTGAATTAGAAAACAATCTAAAATTCAAGCTATTTCAAAAGAGAACTTTTGGGTATCTTGAGCAATAAAAGAGGGAAGTAAAAAATTTCCCCAAGCAATCCTACCCTAATTATCAATTCTAGCCTAATTATCAAGTAGGTGTGATTTAAATTAGCCTACCACTGTGTCAAGACCTCAAGAACCAAAAAGTGCTTGTGAAGTTACATCTCTTTAATCAGTCGCTAGCAATATGGTTTACATTCTATATTTTCTTACCAAACTCGTCAGTTCAATTGAGCATCACAAGGAACTAATCATTAACCTTGATTAAAAACGAATCAAAGGACTGGATGTTTAGACAAGATTCATGGGACATGAGTGTAAAGGTAAATAGTAACTCTTAAGAAGGTTCTAGAATGGCAGAGTTTAATCATAGGCTTTTTTTTTTTTAAGAAACAGTGAGAAATCAGTTAAATTTGGAAGTATACTTTGAATTCTGAGGCCAGAAGTGATCTTATTGATGATTTTAGGAAGACTTGATCTGAGAGACAGAGGCAGACTTATATGAAAAAATATTCAGATGGCAGAGAATTGAAAGACCTTTCAGTCAGTTCAGTTCAGTTGCTCAGTCGTGTCTGACTCTTTGAGACCCCATGAATTGCAGCATTCCAGGCCTCCCTGTCCATCACCAACTCCCAGAGTTTACTCAAACTCATGCCCATCGAGTCGGTGATGCCATCCAGCCATCTCATCCTCTGTCATCCCCTTCTCCTCCTGCCCCCAATCCCTCCCAGCATCAGGGTCTTTTCCAATGAGTTCCCCCAGCCCATTTTGTAAACAGACCTCAGAGTTTTACCTAAAAATCCCTCAAATCTATCCACCTTCCTCCATCTCCATTGTCAACACCCCAGTCAAAGCCAATACCATCTTATTGGGACACCAGCAATACCTAAGGTATGAGCTGGAAGAGAGGGGCTTTGAATACTTGTCAAAGGGGAAGAAGTCTGTGACTGCTCTTAAAAGTGAAACCGTATAAATGTAACTCTTCACATTTTGTCTCAGGAAGCAACACACCTCTTGTGTGAACAATCCATGAGCAGGAAGTGGTGAAAATACTTTAAAGGCTTATTGAATTGCTCATGTGAGTTATCTGATCATCTTGATAAGTGTAGGGCAAGCAACAATGGTGTCTTGGTTTTTCTGATTTACTTCTCTGTGAGCATAAACTACACAGCTGCTCCTGACCTATTCCCACCATTCACATATGTGTAACCCACAGACATTGCTTTAGACGTTGAACATGCTGAAAGTTCAACATGCTTTCTTCCTCTGCATATAGCTTCAAATAGATGAGCTCCTACATACACATATTAACACCTCCCTGCTCTTATTTTGTAATCTGAGTTCTGATTTTATGAGCCATGGCTAATTCAAGTAATATCACATGATTAAAATCTAAAATTGGTAAAAGATGAAAACTATCAATGGCAATAGTTTAAAAAATTATAATTTGACCAGAAAGGAAGAATTATAGATAATGACTAAAATAAGCTGCATTTGCCATTTAAAAACACTGGGTGTCTAAAGCACTAGATACAGTCTAGATATATATCCCTTAAAATGTTTTACCAGTTAACTCAATATGCTTTAAGAAATACCAAGAATAAAACCTAGATAACAGGATTTTTCTTATTACAGAACCATTTATCAAAGTTTACTGTAGCAAATATTTATTGCTCAAAAAAAAATCCTATACATTTTCCAAGTTAAATGAAATTAGTTTTCATCATTAGCAGTTTATACAATATGTGATTAAGCTTATGGGTGCAGAAGGAGTTACTTGGCAATTCATCAATTAGAGCATGAAGGTCCCTACAAAGACTCATTTACACATTTCATTCCCTATCTGTGCATGAAGTCAGATCAACAAGTAGGTATATGACTGATTAACCTCTACCTCCCCTTCAGTATCCAAAACTGTGACTCACCGGGGCTTCCACCATGTTTGGCTTGCTGTTCCTTAGTGTCTTGACCGCATGGAACACATCAACAACATTTTGCCGTTTCACCATTTCAACAACAATGCCTATAGCACAGAACATGCCACTTCGCCCGCCACCATTTCTGAAAGCAAAGAAAACAAAGGTGTTTTAGATGGAAATTTTGGTGACCATAGGTCACACAACCATACATGTTTCAGAAAAGAAAATATTTGTTTTTTATTTCCCCCCTTATGTTTTAATTTTGCTTCACGTGTGTAAGTGTTTGTGTGGCGGGCAGAGAGGAAGATACTTGAGGACGGTATTAACTCAACGGCTTATGCTTAGGGTAGGGACATGCTATAGGCATAGATTGCTGCAAGCTAGATCCTTTGAGATTTTTACAGATTTGTATATAGTGTAAATCAGAAAAATTATTGAGAGTAGTGTTCAAGAGTTTATATGATAACTATATAAAATCAGTTTGAAAAATACAAAAGTTGTAGTAGTGAATTATAGAATCGTGAAACAGGAAGATTGTTTTAGAAGAATATCTAGTTGAGATCTGTAAGATGGGAGTTAGTTACTCTTTAGCAGAGAAAAAAAGAAGGCTAATGATGGAACAAGCACCAAGTCCCCCTGAATGGCCCAGCCAAGATGCCATACTCACAGGCAGTGGATGATCGTCCGGCCCTCCCCTTCCTCGCATTCCTCCTGCCATTTTTCCACCTGCAGTATCAGCTTCAAAAATGACCGTTTGGAGCCAGGCACTTCTCGGTGAGAAGCCCAGCCTAGATATTGAAACTGTTGCACCATCAGATAACCTTCTTGTGGCTGTTGAGGGAAAAAATATTTCTATGTAAATAAGTTAGGGCTAGAATTTTTACTAGAAAGTAAAAGGTTCATGGCTTCCCAGGTGGGTCAGTCATAAAGACCACCTTCCAATGCAGAAGATGCGGGTTTGATCCCTGGGTCAAGAAGATCCCTGGAGGAGGAAATGGCAGTTCTCTCCAGTATTGAGCCTGGAAAATCCTATGGCAGGGGAGTCTGGAAGACTGCAGTCTATGAGGTCACACAAAGTCAGACACGACTTAGAGACTGAGAGTGCAAAAAAGTTTCATACCAATTTTCACTATGACATAAATGACACATTAGACTGAATCTAGCTAATGCAAGTCCAAAATATGTACATGCCAGGGCAGGAAGACTCTAAGTTATATGAGAATTATCTTCATATAAGCTTCTCCCTGACACTCCATATCCAATTATCAATTCCTATGATTATACTTAAATAACTTTCAAATTCATCTCTTCTTTATTGCCACTGATATCATTGTATTCTCAAATCACAAATCATAATAATTACTTCCTAGTTGATCTCCCTGAACAAACTCTGATATACTTTCAAACCATTCTTATTATAGACATCATGATTTAAATGCAAATATGATCATGTTACTTCTTGATTTAATATCTTCCAAATGATCTTAGCATAAAACCCAAATTGCTGCCATGGTTTAAAAATACCTGTATGATAAGGCTCCACTTCCTCCTCCAATTTCCCTTTATTCTAATAACCTAGTCAAGGTCTAGACACATTTGCCTTCTCTTAATCTATTTACATTGGAGAAAGTAATGGCACCCCACTCCAGTACTCTTGCCTGGAAAATCCCATGGACTGAGGAGCCTGGGAGGCTGCAGTCCATGGGGTTGCTAAGAGTTGGACACAACTGAGTGACTTCCCTTTCACTTTTCACTTTCATGCATTGGAGAAGTTTATAAAATTTCATTTATTTGTAGATAAATGATTGTACAAGTTGTTTAATGTTTATCTTCACTGATAAAATATAAAATCTCTTTTCCCTTAAAATCTCATCACTAGAACCTAGCAAAAATACTTTCCAAGTAACAGTACTGCTGAATAAGTGAATCAATACGTCAAACCCTCAAGTGAAAATACAAGGAAGAATTTGTAATGTACAAATCAGCCATATCATAAGGCATCAGACCTGAAGCTCCACATGGCAAAGATTCATACATCCTTTGGTGGGACAAGAAACTACCGAGTTTAACACCCAGCCTCTAATACTAAATATTTGGTGAGGCAGATGATATTAAATAGTGTTAATAGGAAAAGAAAGAAAAATCACACACTAATAAGTGCTTGAATACCAAATATAGATCAAAATAAATATGCTGACCAAAAAAAAAAAGTAAAACAAATTTCAGTTCCTGTTCCTAGAATATTTTTCATATAAACAGTTCAATTAACAGATAGGTTTTACTTTCTCAGTTTAGCAGCTACAGTTTCTCAGCTAAAATATTAGTAGAACCAAAATGTAACAGATGTGCAGACATAATGAGATTCTTTAAATTAACATCTAAGATATGCATGAGTATTATGACATGATTCAAGTTATCCTTTTCTTCCCTCACTGAAATGAACAATAGAACTGGATATGATATTATTCTCTACTTATACACATATAGACATTAATCAGGAACACATATAGTCATTTTGATGTGAGGAACACTGTAACAGGACAATTTTAATTACACTCTTCAAATAATACACGTACATAGAACTGCTGCTTTAGAAAAGAGTAATCGTTCTCTTTAAGAAGAGAGATAATTCCATAATTCCATGGGAGGTACTACTGATTTCTTTTCAAGTTCTGCTTGCTATGTGGTTATATAATCTAAACAGTTTTTATCAGTACTTTTTTGTTTTTTGGAGAGACCCCGGACAGTTTGTCACCGATGGCAAAACACAAGAAATGTCAAGGAAAGAAAGGTTTCTGAAGGACAGTTGCTACTTTGCTGCTGGGAAAAGGCAAGGGCTAGCAGCACTGCATGGAGCTACGTATCTGGGCAGAGCCAGAGGCTGAGCCATTCAGAGATGAAATTGGAGATGAGCTATAGGAGGAGAGTCAGGGACATACGTGATTTAAGCAGAACTGGAATAGTGACACAGACCCCTTCTATAATGGCTGATCCAACATATCACTTTCTCCTGTTGTCAATATTATATTCCTATTTTTCAATTGCATGCCTCTTCTGGGCTGGATATCAATGCTAATAAGACTTGAAGTTAATGTTGAGATAAATCTACATATACTCAGAGGCCAGGCCCAGACAATCAAACTCAATTAAACCAGGGAATCTGCATTTAGATTACCACATAAAATACAATAGGCTAGTAACTGACCCAGAAACCTAGCTTCCAGCATTTTGGATTTCCTGTTTTTAGAATGCATTTTTATTGCAGTGCTAAGGCATAAGATGATTAGTAGCTTTGGGATTGATTATATAATTTCTATTAATTTTACTCGCTCTTTTGTCTGAATGGAAATGTACCCCATTATATTTGTGATCACCTGTTCTGGATCAATTCAGTTAAAAGAATTAATGACTTACTCTTGTTAGATTGCATATCCTAAAAATCCGGTTTATTACATCACAATCCATTGAACAAGACATACATTCCACTTGGATAGGACCATATCGTAGCGTCCCTTCTTCTGGCCAGTACTGAGGGCAGCCCTAGATGTGAATATTTTTGAAAGAAAAAGAAAATGAGCCTTATTTTTTTCTAATTAGGATAGCATAAAGCAGATGTTAGCATTCTATTACTACTTTATTAAGTCACATGTAAGTATACGAAAGAAACCCATAACCGTTAACCTGGGACAAGTCGACTTCATTTAGCATCACAATGGAGGTACAGCCGTAATCATACACTAGTCTCCAGAAATCTTTCACAGTGTTTGGCAGAGGGTATTGTGTGACAATGAAAGCAGCTGGTTGCCTGTAGCTCTGTGAAAAAAACAAGGTAGATAGGGAAAAATAATAATTTAGAATGAATAATCAGTTGTACAAGCAGATTCAATACACTTCAATGTAGGGTTGGGAAGACTCAACGTCTTCATATGGAGTTGAAATCAGCCAGCTGCTCCAGCCGTGGAATAACAGATGTGGACCACTGCAACATGCTGCAGCTGGTAAACAGTCAATCTGATGGTACGCCTTTGATGCCTCAGCAGCAATTCAAGCCAAGAATTAATTTTGTTGATAAAAGTAAATATACGATAAATACAAAAATAAAAATTAAAAAAAAAAAAACTTCTTGAGGCTAAGATCCTTTGTGAGGTACCTGTTGGGCTGTTTCAGTCTTCCAAAGTCTAAGGGTTAAAGACATGTAATTTCAGTGTGTGTGTGTCTGTCTATGAATATATGTCTATCAGCTAGCAACTGTTATAGAACTGTTTGGCTCTTCTCCACTCCAAATAAGAAAAAGGCAAATAAGAATAAGGCACCACATGTGCCTCAAACTCATGTGTTTTTATATTATATTGACATTATCAACACATCTTGTAGGCAATCCACATCCCATAGCTTTCTTGGAATTTCTAACATATATCAATGATCAGAATGATAGTTTTAATCATTTAAGATTTTTCAAGTGCCACAGAGTAAAACTAATGCATTCCCTGGCCCCAGGTAAGAGCGAATGACTCCTTGTTGACCCAAGGCCCCCTGATTGGGACACAACACATTCTCTTTCTAGAAAGAGAGGATAGATTCATCTGGCCAGATAATCTGTCATTCTACAGACTAATGATCACACTAAAATAGAAATATATATTTCTATGTAATAAACTAAGGATTTGTAAAAATATAACTAGACAGCTGCCTGAGGTAGATTTTTTAATGCTGATAAAAATTGTCAAGTGATCTGCTAACTCAGTTGTATCATATTACTCTTTAAATCCTTCAGGTGTCTCAACACTAGTGTAGAAACTGACCTGTGAGCTTCACAGAGCCTATCACCATTTGGGAAATGCTGCTAACCATAGCATTTCACTCCATGGAAGACTGCAGGATAAATCTGAGGAGACAGTAATTCACCAGCAGCTTCTACATGGCCTTAAGACCTCAAAAAGTCACACCTATAGCTGGGGTGAGTGCCCTCCTAAGGAAGATATGAAGACTTATGAGAAAGGATCAGAAGAAAGAAATAAACTTCCCTTCCAATTAAATGTCTGCTCCATGGGAAAGTAAGTCAAGGGAGATGAAAAGCCCTATATTCCTTGTATGAGTGACAGGGGAGGGGAGACAGATGAGGAGAAGACTGAGGAGTCCCTATTTCTTTCCTCCAAGTGCAGGAGCGCATGTAAGGCTTTGATATCACACAACTCTTGGCCTTACCTCATGATTTTCACAGGCATGACAAGTATGACACTCACAGTGGGGTAGAGGTTAAACAGGAAGGGAAAGTGGGAGTGTTGAACAATGAGCCCCATTCGTAAAAGCCAAACCAAATCTAACTTTTCTGCAGTCCCAACCACACTACCAAATCCACTGGGCAGTTTTGACTATAAAATATATGTGTTGAATCGCAGTGAATTAAACAGAAGATAGGAACACACAGAATACAAGGTTCTGTCTTCATATGGACCAGAAAACAACCTGGAAATTAAAAAATTTGAAAGAGATATCAAAGACAAAAAATGCCTCAATATCTTTCCTAATGTTATTTTCTTCTTCTCACCCTTTTTCATTCTAAATATAGACTGACTCAGAAAAAAAAGGCCTGTGTGTTTTCTCTATTATTTAGTATGTTTCACTTTGCAGATGATTAAAACAGCAAGAAAAACTATAATGAGGATCTAGTGTGATTTCAGGGGACAAGAGTAATAACTAGGCAAGACTCTGGTCACAGCAAGAGTAGTAGCTTTCCACTTGAGCTTACCTTTAAACTATTTTGCTCTGTAGAATAAAGAAGAGCAAAGTAACTGGATGAAAATTAGAAGTGGCACGTAGGCTTTGACAAGTTTCTACTATCAGAAACCAATTTTGGAGAACTCAATAGGAGCAATGACTTAGAAAGCTTCATTATTCATCACCCAGGAATGAACCCTGACTCTGGTTTCTCCTTATTATGGCTCCATAGTCTAAAGGGCAGAAACTAGAAATGCCTTTGAAGGAAGGTGACAAACCAACAGGATGCTGAACTTAAAACCCTTCTTGCTTTTTCCCAAGGTAAGCAAAACAAGATGGAAAAAGACTACTTTAAAATTCTCTTTCCATATTGGTGTGTCTATGGGATGCTGACATGTGAGTACATGCCACACCATCTACAATACAAAGACTGGAGTAGGGTAAGAGAGTTCTTTTCATGACGATTGATGTGTTAACTTGGTATCTTCCATGCCTTCCCTTATATCTTATTAATTAATAACAAATGATACACGTTAGCTATAAATTATTGGAGTAATTATTAGTTAGCTATAAATTATTAGTGTCAGAGATAAAAGTTTCCAAATTAACACAATTTCAGTAGAATATGACATTCTATGATTTAAAAAATTCATTTCTAACTATATTCAAAATAGATAAGCATGAATCTCTTTCCTGAAAATAATCAGGATGAAAACTATCACCTGCAGATATTTCTTTTTTTTTTTTTTCATTTATTTTTATTAGTTGGAGGCTAATTACTTTACATCATTGCAGTGGTTTTTATCATACATTGAAATGAATTAGCCATGGATTTACATGTATTCCCCATCCCGGTCTTGTACAAAACTTTTATAACAATTGAAAATCAACTGTCAAACTTACAGTCAAGCCTAAAATTTATAGTGCCTAAGAACCACTGTAAGGGAAATTCAAAATCACTGTCCAAAAAATTTTGTATTACAATGGAAGTTTCTACTTTTCCTTTTTAGGCCATTTAAATTTTCTTGAAAAGAGAACCTAACCAGTGTTCATCAATTTTGCAGCTTTTCATTACATTTTACACTAACAAAGAGAGCAGTCTCTTACATCCATAAGAGCAGCATTGATGTAGTTACTACTCTCCCCATCAATTGTAATTAAAAAAGGCAGACATCTGTCAGGTGGCAGCATGTCCATAAAACGGTTCTTGTCATGGTTCCTTGGCAGGCATGCTATACTGCAGTCCTCAGCTTGTAGTCGAGGGGTGACTGAATTCAAGGTCTGGAAAGAAAGGGAACCCAGGTTAAAAGACAGTGACCCACTTCACAGCATAACACAGATCTTTCAAGCATTTAGGAGGCCAAGTAGAAAGCAAAGAATTTGTGCAAGGCAATGACATTTGCCATGATGACAGGCTGATAAGACTTCGTAGTTAAAGCTACTAAAGCCAGAGAAGTGACAGAGAAACAATATACACATTGTTCAATGTACCTCTCTTTAAAAGGGGAAGGGGTGCTAAACAACACAGCAACCTCCAGAAGGTATTGTCTAACCAAAGAAAATGCAATCAGAGCAGCCCATGATGATGTCCCATCATCAAACTTATAATTTGTAACATTTTAATGTGCCAGATTTGAGGACATGCTATGGCAAAGAGCACTGGGCAAAGAATCAAAGAATTAGGTTTTTGGAGTTATTCTTGATTTCATAGTCAACGGCTTTAGGGATGTTTTAAGGGCAGTGAAAACATTTGGGATTAGAGATGATGTTTAGCACAAACGCCAGCTATTATTATTAACGTGCTTGAGTGACACAGAAGGTCAAACTCCATAAGACTGCATTTTAAAAAAGATTGTAAAGATATACAAATTATCACTAAACTTGACTTTTATGGTAACTTTTCTGCATACTTTCCCCTGTGTCTGAATTCAATTGCCCTTCAAAATATAGCAGATATGATATGAGCTCATTAATACAAAAGTTGAGTCTATAACTTTGTATAACTGTATAATGAAAGAGACACGTATTATATTATACTTAAAATAGGGTCAAAGGTTATAAATTTGACTTGAAAGACCTTCCTTGGAAGAATTAAGAATGCCCAGGACAAACTGTAATAAGTTACTCATAAAAAGGTGCTAGAAATAATAAATACCTGGAATTCATCTTTGAGATGTGAAGAGTTTGTCTGGGAGTCTATTCTAATCATATCAAAATATGCAGCTTTAAATTCACAGACAGGTATGGCAGTTTCTCCACATAAGCAGGCCTCTAAAATGGCATCATGAATAAAAATGTACTGTTCCTATCAAAAGAAAGAAAATTTTCATAATATTTTAATACAAGTTTCCTGTCATCAAAGAATTCTCTCTCTATAAAAATATTAATAAAAATACCAGTATTTTTCTATGACTTGATGAGCTACTATTGATTCTATGGGACAAACACCTACTATTTAGTTTGATAAGTGTTGGAAAGCAAACCAAGAAAGGCCACCTGAGGTTAATCAACAATCAACACACCTCTGTCTGGACCATATTGATACGACGAGATCTTAAGGCTTTGACACAGTTGTAGATGTCAACAACACCCTCTCTTTCAGCCATGTCCAGCATGATGTCAATCACAATGTAACAACCAGTTCGCCCAGCACCAGCACTGAAAAATAAGCAGAGCTAGAGAATTGCAGGAAGCATGTGTCTATACAAATTGAAAGACCCATCTGATTTTCAAATAAGTGGAATCAAATTGATTCAACAAAGTACAAGACATAATTTGTATGTATTGTGTAAATGCCTGTTAACGAACAAATAGCTTCAATGTAGAGAACCTACTTTGGTGTAAACTCAGGACTGGAACAAATTAAAAAATATAAGCTTTGTAAATCAAATTGTGTTTTGAAAATAATATATTATGTCACTTAAGCTTCATAGCTCTTATACACAGTCTTCATTTTACAAAAAATTCAAGCTCATAGAATTGATCAAGGAGTGGATTTATGCTTTAAAATTTCACCTGAGATCAAAAGACTCATATTCATGTCATTGTGGGCACTCTGGTAAAATATAGCAATGCTGTCTTCGTCAGACAGATTCTGGTCAAGGCAAAAGAACATTAATCTAAAACCTTCAAATGGAAAATCACATTTCAGGGGAAGTGTTAATAGTGAGGGTGGGGAAGAAAATGTTCTTGTTACTAGGAAGAAGACCAACAGTAGAAAGAATATTTACATGGTGATCCAAAGAAAAAATGAAAATGAATTGTTAGGTATGAAATATAATTCTTAACAGGTCTTTCAGTATCAAGTAGTATATTAGTATACTATATATATATATATAAACAGTATATATATATATATATATATATATATATATATACTGAATATAGTATACTATATTCAGTAGTCGAGTCATAATATACTGTTGATTATTTTACCCGTTGGGAAGATTTCTCATTTTATACATATAAGTCAATGGAGCAAAAAGGTATAGTTCAGATTTTTATGGAAAAATCGCTTTGTAGTCAGCTCCCTCTCTTCCATAAATTCAGATGCCCAAGTGGAAGCAGAAAATGACACTTGTGTTTCGAGAGCATATCTGAGACTGTTGGCGCACTACTGAAACAGGCAATTCACAGGAAAGGAAACCTCTGATAAGTCAAGACACTACATAATTGAAAACCCATTCATCTCATTTTCTAAATATACAGACAGACTATTAACATTGTTTCTTTGAAGTCTGGATTTGGTCATTTCTCTTAAACTTAATTGTTCTTTAAGAAATTTAAGTCAAAGGTATTGTGGCTATCTCTGTTTCTTTTTCTTGCCTACCATCTTCTCAGTCACTGTTCCCACGGTTTGAGACAGGAAAGTGATTGAAGAGTACATCAGACTTCTTGAGGAGGATTGAATTGTAGATTTTTTTTTCAAGGTACACAGTATCTGATCCTAATGAGACACCTTACTTTTATTTCATTCTCTGTTGTTTTATTTTTCCTTTCATATGTGGTCATTTAAATACTGAATAGGCTGGATTTTCAGGGAAGGAAAAATACTTAAGCACAACCTATTATGTACCTTGGAAGGGACAGTATTTGGGAATGGTGTGCAGCATTTAGGAAAAGCTTTTCAGATTCAGTATACATTTTTCTATTCATATCTCAAAATGAGGCCATGTAATTTGCTTTTAGTGTCTCTGAGTACTTATTTTAAGAGAAGTTTCTAATCAGAAGGAAGTCTGGATAATAGTCACATTTTTCTGGCATATATATGCTGAATTTTACTAATGTAGTTTTCAAAGTCCTCTAAGGGATGGCTTTTTAAAAAAATTCTTAAAGTAGCTGTTTTACAGCACAAATTCTTGTAATTTAGGCCATTTAATAACTTTGTATGCCTCAAATTTAGTTTTAAAAGCTGGCTTCTATTATGAATTTACTAAATTGGCAAGAAATATCTGGCTTTATCTACTATTCCATACTACATAGGCTTTGCAAAAGTGATTAAAAAATAACCCACAACACACGTGCAGATGTTGCCACTAAAAGGCAGAGCTTCTACATTCACAATTATGGACAATACTACACACATTAAGATGAATGGATTTATTTCTGAAGTTTCTTTTATATTCTCCTTAGAAGCTAACTTGTATTTTATTGCTGTTTTACCTTAACTGTCAAACTGGCAAACTGGAACCTTGTAAGCATGCATTAGTTTTTGTGTTTGCAAGCTTTGTTTGGATACTTTAAAAAAGCTGGCTGCACAAAGTAAATGCCAATTGGACCACCACTCACCTGCAATGCACAACGATGGGACCAGCGCTAGGAGGGTTGGAGAATTTGACCCGCCGGATGAAGGAAAGAAGGCCGGTAGCATGGTAGGGTACTCCATGGTCAGGCCAGCCAGTGAAATGGAACTGTTTAACTTCACGGATCTCATTGTATCCTCTCTGTGCAAAGACATAAAGAAGTGTTTTCAAGCACCAAAATAGAGCCTTTAAAAGACAACCATGGGTACTAGACCTGACTGACAATGAAAAACATAAGAAATTTATCAAAGATACTGCTTTTGCTGAAAAAGGATGCTGACATGGCCTAGGAGCTTACCTTTATTTTCAGACAACTGCCAAAGAAAGAAAATGAGAAGTCTTGCTCAGTTCTGTAAGTCCGGGTAAATTTTATTTACCTTGACAGTCTGTTCCTTATTTGGAATGACAACACATAAAATGATTAGGGGAAAAGGAAGAAATGGGAAGTTAAAATGCTGCCCTGTTGACCCAACGCACTGAGTTCTCAAGTGGTGTATAAAAGCAACTTTCTGCTTCTCACCTTACAAAGAGATTTTAATGCCTTGCTCAGCCATGTTGAAAATGGTTTTGAAGCATGGCATGTAGGGATTTTCCAGAACAGTGCTACTCTAGATGGGTTTGTAAAAATATACAGACAGCTAAACTGTTCTTTGGCCAGACTATTTTCTTAGCTCTGTGAAATAAATCAGCACACAGAGGATTATTTATAGCAACAAAAATACAAACTGAAAGAAGCAAACATCCATTGCTGTGCCTTTCTCCTATTGGGTTAATTTTTAGAGAAACCTTTCAATGCGCATTTCAAACTCTTCCCTTCCTTTTTGTTTCAAGAAGCCCATAGATTGCAGGAACAGCACTTGGAGAATTCAGATGAGATGCTGCAGAGTTTATTTTTAAGAATCCACATTTGTGGCCCTCCAAGCCCCACTATAGTCTATATATTTACAACTCTACTATGAACTCTGTGAAATCTCAATCTTACTTGTTCCTCAGAAGGTAGAAAAAATTGCATGAAATAAATGAACTAAATGAGAAATTTTAATTCCATCCTAAATATCACCAAAGCCTTGGAAGCCAGTGATCACATCTTATAATTCTTTTTCTTTCCTGTTCCGAGTACAAAACCCCACACAAAGCAGGGCTCAACAAGTAAGCATAATAGTGACAATGATAAACATCACTATGAAATCATGCAAACAAAATCACTTTCTTAAGTACTTTTGAAGTCAACTTTACTGAGGAAGGCCATACATTGTTCAAAGATCATCTCCTCAGCATTGATCCTTTTGCTGGAGTTGCTGTAAGGGCCCTGCTCTCTTTAGAAAATTTTAATATCTGGCAGTGCATGTTTTCTTATTATTCATTTTGCTTAAATTTTCCTGAATAATTTTCAAATATATAGATTTTTTTTAAAAAATCACTCTTTTCCAGTGTTTTTTATATGAGGAAAATAAATTTAAAATAAACCCTAAAAAAAAAATAAACCCTAGTAATGCTATAATCAGTATTGTATCCACTCCATAAGGAGTTATTAATGCCAAGTATTCCCATTCTGGGACATGGGGCATGTCTCCATTTATTCATATCTTAGTCTGTGTCCTTCAACACATTTGTAATGGTTTTATTCACTTAGGACCTGTTTCTTTCTTGCTAAATATATTTATAGATACTTCAGAGGGCTTCCCAGGTTGCTCAGTGGTGAAGAATCCACCTGCAATACAGGGGATGTAGGTTCAATCCCTGTGTTGGAAATATCCCCTGTAGAAGGAAATGGCAACCCACTCCAGTATTCCTGCCTCGAGAATTCCATGGACAGAGGAACCTGGTGGGCTACAGTCCATGAGGTCACAAAGAATTGGACAACAGCAAAAACAGATACTTAAGAATTTTTATTATTATGAAAGGGATTTTTAAAAATCTATATCTTTATTAATAATATAATGAAAATATATCTTGAATTCAGTTCAGTTCAGTTCAGTTGCTCAGTTGTGTCTGACTCTTTGCGACCCTATGAATTGCAGCACGCCAGGCCTCCCTGTCCATCACCAGCTCCCGGAGTTTACTCAAACTCATGCCCATTGAGTCAGTGATGCCATCCAGCCATCTCATCCTCTGTCGTCCCCTTCTCCTCCTGCCCCCAATCCCTCCCAGCATCAGGGTCTTTTCCAATGAGTCAGCTCTTCACATGAGGTGGCCAAAGTATTGGAGTTTCAGCTTCAGTATCAGTCCTTCCAGTGAACACCCAGGACTGATCTCCTTTAGGATGGACTGTTTGGATCTCCGTATCTTGAATTAGTCACTTAACTAATTTTGATGTTCTTTTTTAAAATATTCTAACTAGCTTTTTTTGTATAAAATCATTACACCTTAAAATAATTGCACCCTTTTTAATAGTTTTGCCATTTATTCCTTTTGCTGTCTTATTTAATTTCCTAGAGCTTCCAAAAATGTTGGACACTAGTGACCATGATTATCCACATTGCATCTCTGATTATATTAATAACTGTAAGGCCTCTAGTTTTTCACTCCTTCATATGTATGCTACTGATTATTGTTGAAACAGCTTTATCACGTTTAGGGAGTCTCCTTATTTTTTTCTAATATAATTGGAGTATTACTATAAATGTCTTTTAAATAAAATTAGGTGCATTACAATATGTATTAATGAAATCACAGGATTTTGTTCCTTTAATGCACTGAGATAATGAAATATTCTTTTAGATTTCCTACCACAGTTGTAAAATCTTTAAATCTTAAAAAAGCAATCATGATAAATCATGTAGTGATCTTTTCTTAATTCACTGCTGGATTCACATTTTCAGTATGTCCTGAATTAAACTGAATGTGTGCATACTTGAGAAAGAGAAACAGGGAGAGATCTAAAAAGAGAGACAGAAGAGCTTGAGAGAGTCCGGTCTTTATGTGGTTCTATTATCACAGTTCTGCTAGCTTTTAAAACATATTTAGCTGGTTTTAATGGTTTTTCTATGGCCTAAATAGTTTGATTAACTTAGGCATTAGCTATTCATTAGTTATTCTTTAGAGGTTAAAGACACCTCAATTATGAAACCATAATGCAATTTTAATGGCAAATTTCAACACTCTTATTTTCTTTTACCAGCTGTTCAGATCCCGAGCTCTCCTTGGGTTAAATACTGGAAATAATTATTTGCTAGAATTTCATTGTATCTAGACTGAGATCTGTCTCTAAATTCACACATAATATAACTTTCTTAATAGCAGCTATAGCTATAGTTCTGTCCCTTTTGTGTTACCCAGTGTCACATATTTTGTTTTGATTGCTCATCATTTGTAATTGACAAGTGGTTTAGTTACTTTATTGATCATTTCAAGGAAACGGCTTTTTTATTAAATTTATTCTTTTTTGTCAGTGTCTCATTTTTATATTTATTTTTCCCTTTGTTTTACTGACTTTCCCCTGATTTCTAGTTTAACTGTTTTTTACAAGATTTTAGACTATCTTTCACGATAGAAATCACTTTTGATTGTATATTTTTCTCCTAACTTGTGCAATATTTTGATATAAAATTACTTATCTTCGTAATATATTTTTAGTTCTGAGGCAACTGTGTTTCAGTCACTCAGTCGTGTCTGACTCTTTGCGAGCCCATGGACTGCAGCACGCCAGGCTTCCCTGTCCTTCACTATCTCCCGGAGCCTGCTCAAACTCATGTCCATTGAGTCAGTGACGCTATCCAACCATCTCATCCTCTGTCGTCCTCTTCTCCTCATGCCTTCAATTTTTCCCAGCATCAGGGTCTTTTCTAATGAGTTGGCTCTTCGCATTGGAGGCAATAGCTCATTCAAAGATTATTCATAAGAGGCCTTTGGTGGTTTCTGAACCTAATTTGGGGAGTTGCTGGTCAGTGATTTGTTGTTATTTTCCACTGGATTTTGGAAACATCTTGAATTTTTATTATGTATTTAAGTTTCCTTTATAACTAAGTTTGTGATTGATTTCTTTTTAACTTTATATTTTATATTGGAGTATAGCTGATAAGGGGCTTCCCAGGTGGTGCTAGTGGTAAAGAACCTGTCTGCCAATACAGGTGACATAAGAGAGGTGGGATCAATCCCTGGATGGGGAAGACCTCCTGAAGGAGGGCATGGCAACCCACTTCATTTTGTTGCCTGGAGAATCCCATGAACAGAACAGGCTGGTGGGTTACAGCCCATAAGGTCACAGAGACTCGGACACCACTGAGGTGACTTAGAATGCATGCATAGCTGATGAACAATGTTATGATAGTTCCAGGTGGACAGCAAAGGCATGATTGACTTTTCATAAGTTATAAGAAGAATGTATATTCAAAATTATCTGTTTCAATGATAATGGAATATAGCTATTCATTAAATCATGCTTGATGGTTCTTTTCTTGAAATCTCCTGTATCTTTGCTCATTTATTCTGCTTGATTTGTCCAAGAAATTTTTATACATACTTTATAAATGTGATAATAATAATTATATTGTTCTGTATACAGTCCATGGAATTCTCCAGGTGAGAACACTGGAGTGGGTAGCCTTTCCCTTCTCCAGGAGATCTTCCCAACCCAGGAATGGAACCCAGGTCTCCCTCATTGCAGGTGGATTCTTTACCAACTTAACTATTAGGGAAGCCCATGAAGTCAACTGTAGTTTAAATAAATTTCTTAGGATAGGTGCATGGAAGGTAAAATTTGTGGTCAAATCAATATTCCAAAATTCTGTAGATAAAACATTGTTTTACTGATTTACAGAGAGCTTGTGTGCATGTGTGTGAAGTTGCTTCAGTTGTGCCCAACTCTGTGCGACCCTATGGACTGCCAGGCTCCTCTGTCCATGGGACTCTCCAGGAAGGAGTATTGGAGTGGGTTGCCATGCCGTTCTCTAGGGGATCTTTCTGACCCAGGGATTGAACCCACGTCTCTTATGTCTCCTGTATCGGCAGGCGTGTTCTTTACCACTAGCGCCACCTGGAAAGCTGGAGGGCTTATGGCAATTTAAATATGATCAGCAACACATGAAAATATCTCATCATACTCTTAAAATCAGTGAGGATTATTATTCTTTTTCTAAAAGAACTTGCTGATTTGAAAGTAAAAAATGGTATACCAGCACATGAGGTGAAACATTTTCAATAAGCGTGCTAGCAGTTGCTTTTTGTGGGGCAGAGATTCTAGTATTTCCTTTATATTTATATTAAAGCTATGAGTTAAGAGTATTAAATAATCACAATTTCTTTGTTGTGTGTGCATCTTGTAATTAAAATTTTTTGATACAGATAATTTTATACTTTTGTGTGGTCAAAGTTATTAAACTTTTCTGTAACAATGTATGTTATTGCTTTTATGTCTTACTTTAGTCCTCTCACACTGCCCACTAGCTTCCGTCTTTCTGAACCTGCTTAAAAAAAAAGTCAGATCATGTTACTCCTGGGCTCAAACCCTCCAATGGCTGGCTACTTTTACCTTTCATACAAACTAAAATCATCACAGTGGCTCACAAAACCTCACTTATCTGGCTCTGTGATTTCCCTGACTTTAAATCATATTTCTTTCCCTTTCACTTACCTATCTCTCAATACCCTAGACTCCAGTATATTTCTCACTGCGACAGGAATATCATACACTCTATGAAATAAGTGTTCCCTCCATCAGGAATATTCTGCCTGGGACAACCTCCCTGGGATATAACCCTTCCATGGGATATATTACCCTTCCATGGGATATATATTACTCTCTCCCTCACTTCCTTCAAGCCTTTACTCACATGTTACTTTTTCAACTACTCCTTTCCCACAAAAGAAAGGGTTTAATATGTGTCTCAAGGTTCAGAAACATGCCTGGTACATGTTATGCTTTCAAATAAATACTTGTGAAATGAATAAGTAAATGGATGAATTTTATAGCATCCTTAAAACAACTCTTGACAGAGATTTTAAGGAAAAAAAAAGAAAGAATTTCAGTATATTTAATTTGGAGAAGGTTAGGGTACTTACCCTTTCCAGGGTGAATGTCCTAACTACATATTCGGCAAGTGGTTCCATTTCTATACAAGTTACTTTGAAGTCACCATAAACTTCGGTATCATCAGGCCAATACTTATAGCATTTAACCTAAATGACAAAAAGTATATATAGGTCAACCTAAATACATAATACACATTAACCAAGATGATTTAGTTTCAGTGATAACTCTTCAGGTCATAGTTAAAAGATCGTTTAAAAATCCATAAATAATAAAAAAAAATCCATAAATAAAAGAATCTGTAACAATAAATAGAAAGATTTTGTGTACTCTCATAAAAACATACAAGCCTGACAATGCAACTAGATTCTAACATAAAATCAAAGCGTATTTACTTTACTAAGTGAGAAATCAAATCATTTCTTAGCAATCAGAGACTCACTTAGGAGCACTCAGTTGAAATACTATGCCTAAGAAATTTTTTCAAACAATTAAATGGTATTCTATTCTAAGTGTATTATGTTTTGCTGTTCAACTTATACTGATATGTTATAACACACAGGGTGTTTTTTGCCCCTTACCCGGCCAACTTCAACTAAATTTGTGACCATCACAATGCATGCAGACTGCTCTTGCCAGATCATTCTCCAGAAATCATACACTGTTTCATGAACTGGGCCTATAAAAAATTAATTTGAATAGTATGTTATCAGAGAAATTTTGTAGTTAAAAAGAAGTGTAGATAAGAAAAAGAACAATATAAACTAAATGAACCAAAGTAGAGAACATAAAGGTCTAGCACAAAATGTCACTAAAAGTACTTCAATTCAATTCATACCTAAATTCACACTAAAGGCAAAAAAATAGGTGTGTACAAGGTTGCTTGCTTCAGTTTGCCTTCTGTGTTTCCAAATTCAGAAGATAGCACTAGTTTTTAGGGTACTTATATCTGTCTATTGTTCTTGTTCTTGTTGTATAGTCATTCAGTCATGTCCAACTTTTTGCAACCCCATGGACTGTAGCCCACCAGGCTCTTCTGACCATGGGATTTCCCAGGTAAGAACACTGAAGTGGGTTGTCATTTTCTTCTCCAGGGGATTTTCCTGACCCAGTGATCAAACTTGCATCTCTTGCATTAGCAGGCAGATTCTTTATTCACTGAACCACCAGGGAAGCAGGGTTATATCTGTCTCTAAGTTACGTTAATTCATCTTCATGTAAATGGGAAAATAGGAAGTCTTATGCCACCATCAACCAAACAGCACACATTACTAATTAAATATATACACATCATTTATAAACAGTGTAAGTTTAGGGGTTAATAAAGAACCATCAGATATATAAGGACATGTTCTAATTTATGGTATCATCTCTGAGCTGCAAAAGCATCTACTGGGCTAAACTTTACCCTATGCCATGAAACAAGAATATCATTTACCATGGATGATCTTTCTAACTTAAAAGAGTTTATAATTAATTAAACTCAGTATAACTGCAAAGATATGTGAAAAACACTTAGAAAATGACGTCTGCAAAAACAGGAAATTAACTTTTGTTTTACTTTCCCTTTTTATAAAATAAGATGTGCAGTTTTCTCATCTGATGGTCAGTAGTCAGTTTGGGGAGAAAACTAGAGGTGGTCTTGGTATGGTTGTAAGGATACTTTTATTCCCCAATGTGCCACTCTTACTTCTATTTTTCCAAGAAGAATGAACTCGACTAAGTTCCCTTCAGCCCTTTGTTATGTCTTAGTCTTGACTTGAAAAAAAAATTGTTGCAAGACAGTCCAACATCTCATTATAGCAATGTTGGCCTTGGGTACTATTACATGCCAGGCCAACAAACTCTGCTGCAAGGAAACAGGTGCCTTATATAAGATGAGATCTCAGTTGCTTTCATCAAAAAATAAGTAATTTCTCTGCCCAGCACTCTTTACTAGTGCTCTGGGACATCCAGATACCAAGAACCAAATCTCAAAGACTACCAGCAGCTTCTCTTTTACTTTTAAATAAAAAAAAAAAAAAATCAAGGTTTAATTTATATACATTTTAAAGAGATAAAACAATCTGTATTATACAGATGAATAAAGAAGAGTGTCAACTGGAAGAGCTGATTTTTTTTTTAACTCAGATCAAACTGCAAGAAAACATCATATGGATGAATTAAGCAAGTCTGATTACTCTATTATTATTTGATTATTCTACTCTATTTAAAAAGGCAAAGTTTTACCTTGAGTTGCAATGTAGTGACTTGGTCTCTGGTAGCCCTAAAATAGGAGAACAAAGTAGTCATCATTTTATATCAGTGTCAGAAATAAATGAATGAAGGCATAAAAAGAGGAAGACAACCACCTGTTAAGATTAAGTTATAGTAAAAAGTCCAGAAATGAGTAGTGAACTCATAGTTCACTTCTCAAACCTAGGTTATCTGAAAGGTAAAAATAAAACAAAAATTAAATATTTTAAGGGGTCTGATTAGAATATATATTGCACAATTGAGTTTTGCTTGCTGGGAAAGAACTTTATAGATTTTGCTTGGTTTCACTAAAATGTTTATGCCTTCATGTTACTCTTTAGTTTCATTCCTGGCAAAATTGTGTCCAAAAATATTAATTCTTATTTTATCATCCAAAAATACAACACACTGCATTACAAATGGACAACGACATATTAGAACCATAAAAAAATAACAGAACATTCCAATGTTAGAGCTGGACAATGCATGTGTGCATCAAGTCAAACTCCTGCTGAGATTTTTTTTAGAGAATATTTCTATTCTATAATATGTTCAGGAATCTGCCAAAACTATTTTGTGTGTGCTGATAATATTAATTTACACACACATAATTATAGGTACACACATATATAGGGAAAAAAATCTTTTAAAAAATGCATCTTATCCTGAACAAAAGGTTTAGTACTTTTTTCTTTCTTTTTATAGTGTGCCAAGAGTTTTATGTGGTTAAGCACTTGATACTGTTCCAATAAAGAAATTACTCCAAATAAAAGATAAGTTGTTAGTTGCTTTCAATTGATTTGAATTTCAATAGATCATTAGTAGCAAAAATGTTAATAGAGTTAAGCTGTGACTTTGTTGTATCTTCAGCAAAGGGCTTTAGTAAAAGCCTGAGTTAGCAGACCATCTGGTCCTACCCAAAACACCTACAAAACATTTGGTGCATACCAAAAATTCTTGATATTTGCAGGACCCTCGGGTGTGCCCAAAGGGTCCATAAGACATTTGGTCCATGCCAAAAGGTCCTTAAAAACTGTTCCTGTCCAAAATGTCCATGAGCATACTTGGTCCATGCCAAATGGTATTGGTTGGCACCAAGTATCAAGGACTTCTGGCATGGACCAAATGTCTCCATGGACATTTTGGAAAGGAACAAATATCAAGGATGTTTTGGTATGGACCAAATGTCTTAATGGATGTCTTGGATAGGACCAAAGGTCCTGCCAGGGTCTTGGCAGAAAACCAAGGTTAAACTAAATAGGTAAGAACAAGTACAAATTTGTCAGAGAACTGTTGATATTTTTATTCTAGAGAGTAGACTGTTTAGTTTTCCATATTGAATGAGAGTAAAATAATGATCAAAAATTTAACCAATATACTCAGACTATAGTTAATAAAATTCATTAATTCAAATATATAATGACATCACAAAATACTATAAAACATGAACTTGATAAATGTGATAAAATTATTTCTTATTTATAGAAATTATAAAAAGTTAGATCCGAATTATACATATATTTTGCATATCTATAAATGTATCATATGCTGCAATTGTTGATATTTCTATCTTTTGCTTTACAAGTAATGCAAATTTAGAATTAATTCACTTCAGTATGCCTGAACGATTTTTTTTAAATAGTGAAGTTTAATGAGTGCTTAATATGTTCTAGGCATTGTGCTAAATGATCAACATGAATTACTTCATTTAATTCTCACAATAAAATGATGAGGTTAGTGGTATTGTTATTATCTCCATTGTAAAGATGAGGAAACCGAGGGACAGAGGGATGAGTTGACATTCTTGCAATTTCCAGTGTGATTTTGAACCAAGAAATATGAACAGAGCCTGTCCTTCTTGGATGTAATACACTGCATCCTTAATATTTTATTTTATTTGATAATTACTTGCATTAAATAAAGGATATGCATGTACATATGTCTTAACCAAAACTGAACAGTGGAATGTATGATCAAAACAAACTTTCATTTTTATGATTCAATATATATGTGTGATATGTGTATTTTACAAATGCAATTTTGTAATTATTTTGCCTAAGTAATTTTAATACTTTACAAACCAATACCACACACCACAAAATAGTGTCCCTACCCATTTTTAACATCAGAAGTCAAATGTAATGACGTAAAATTTCAGAAATACTAATACACATCATACTATCCAGCTTCTCACATATGTTTAGGGAGGGGTAGGATAAAAGCCAGAAACAGAAACCATCAACAAATAAAACTCGAGTACATAATAAATTGTCAAAAGCTAAAAATGACCCTGCTTTTCTAAACATAGAAAAGGGAGGGAGGTAAAATAGATCTTTACACATGTAAAGGAGTTACAAAAAAATGAACATAGATATACTATATGAGGCTAGTTAGGTGAAGCATGCAGAGAGAACTAGTAGTAAGCATTAGTAAGAACTGTGATTAAGAGTAGTCACATTAAATGTTTATAACAGGTGCTGTTATTTACAGATAGTGGTACTTACATCCCTGTACAGCCAAATCTACAGCCCAAACCAAAGTCAGGTGTGAAAGGAAGCACAACAACGTCAGTAAGTACTAGGACGCAGAACAAAGAAAAGTGTACAGTTTGTTCTTTATTTTAAAAAGCTAGCAATCACTTTATAGGTAATAACAAGGAAAAGATTTATATATATACATATATATATATATATATATAAGCCAATAAATTGGGCATACTGCAGGGTAAAAATACTTACATCTATGTAGTTGGCATTAATGTAATCTGAAGATGGATCGTCCTCAACAGGTTGCAGAATTACTCTGGAGTGATCATCTGAGATTTTTAAAGGATAAAATAACAGCTATTAAATTTCCCCCCTGTTTTGAGACAATGACCCTAGTAGAAACTTAAAATAATTCAGTGGTTAACAACAGATTATCCATAATATACTTTCAAAATTTCCTTGGATACTAGTCATATGAAAAAAATGCAAGAACTTAATGAGCTCATTACTTATTTTGATGATAATATTCTGTTAAGAAAGCTTCAATGACTAGCATCTTCATAGTTAGGAAATTTTTAGTAGACATGATAATAATGTCTGACAAATCATCATTTCAGTCATAAATTTTTCTGAATTGCTAAACTTGCCTTAACTCCTAATTTTGCTTGTTAGGCATGATTTTAAATGGGTGGGATCTTTTCTCCCTGTACTTTACAGCAAATGAGCCATAGAATTAAGGAGTGAATTTCGAAACCCTACTCTCAACTTACTTTGTGAGAGTTATGGTTACTCTCACAAAGGTTAAACTGATGTATTCAAAAGAGAGTGTAAAATAATTTAAATTGAGAATAAAGTAGTCTAAGTAAAATCAGCAGCTAGTTACAAGCTAAACAATCTGTCACTTTTCTTACTGCTCCTATGGTTTCATATGATAATTTATTTATCTCATGAATACATCTTGAAGACTTAATCAGGAGTAAGTCCCTAATGATAAATAACTTGGAGTAAATGGGACTCAGGCACTGACTCCAAGAAAGGAAACAAGGTATATGGAAGGAATAACACTCCCACCTTGAATGTGTTTGGTGGAAGAGTTATAGTAATTTAGCAATGAAAAAAATCCTTCATATTCATTGTCCTAATATTTTCAGTTGTTAATGACACCTCCAGGCATTTATATGCAAACATAAAATTCAGCAGGACATTATCACCACAAGAAGAAGAATCCGAGTCCATTAACGTGGTTGATGACAATTTCAGAATTGCTGCCAATATCCAATGCTGTTATAATATGAAATAGGTTACTTTATAAACAGATTGCCATCCTCTGGGATTTTTTTAAAGTTTAAAACCACAGAAGGAGTAATTGCAAATTTACCCTTTATCTTCTACACATGGTTTTTACATTTATCAAGAATCATAAGAGAACTTACATGCTATAATGTTTCCATATCTGTTTTTTGCTCTATTTTGATCTTTTTTAGCTACATCCCAAGACGCTGACTGTCCTTCAAAGAAGCTCTAGAAAAAAGCACAATTAACACGCACACTGAATTTAATTCCTTTCCTTGAATCAAGTCTGTCTGTTTTAAAGACTAAAATAGTAAAAGTCACTTTCTCAGGGAGGAAGAGAGCCCTACCGCAGTAAAGAATCAATTTTCAGACCTCAAAGCTTGTTTGCCGGACTCCTGCTTGTTCATCTTGGATTGGACTGAGTTCAAATTGCGGACAAGAAACAACTTTAGGGGGAAAAAAGTCGGGGCGGGGAGCCTTGAAAGTATTTCAAGTTTAACATCACTGCAATTTTGTGAGATGGAAGTAGAGAAAGCATCAGAGACTTCAAAACTACTTTTAATGAGCATCTTTCAAAAATATGCTTCCTTTAGCATTTCTGACAGGACAAAGAAAACCTGTTTTCTCCCATAATTATTCATTAAATCGTGTGCAATACATCACATTTTAGTTTCTTTGAAGATCATGAAAAGGACTCAGTCTCCACAACAAGAGACCATATGAAAATTAAAAAGAGTCACCATCTCCAAGATTCTTGGAACAGATGAATTTGTTGATTGGTTTAATTACCATATGCAGCAATTTAAAATATGGGTATAGATATCTTTTTAAAGAAAACTTTAAGCTTTGCTCAACACAAGAAATGGGGTCTTCAAAGAGCCAATGATCTTTGAAGCAAGGTACACAGGAATACACAGGCAATGAACAACAACAAGAAGATAGTTCTGACAGAATATTGTAATTCCTTGCACTATTTTGTCACCACAGCATATGTTCCCAGCGTATATCTAAAACTGATATTCAAAATTCAATTCATTCACTCCCTAACTAAGGTATAACAAGTAATCTGTAAATAAAGGAGATGTTTAGAAGATTCCTTATGAAGTTGGATGCATTATATTTTAGGTGGTCTTTCAAAGTAAAATACTCCCTGGCTTCTTTCATTTTAATTGTGTGTGTATGGTGGTGAAGGTACTTTCTTCTACACCCCAGAGTGCCATTTCTCAGTAAGTGAAAAGTAGCAAAAGAAATATTCCCTTTTTCTATATTATATACATTGGGATGTTTAGTTAAATAACTTCCTCTGTAGTATAATCTTGTTGTTTTAGTTTGGGTAGGAAGGGGAGATAAGGATGAAAGAATTTCCCACATCCTTTTTTGGGCTGTTTTTTGTTGTCTGAATTTGCAGTACTCTGTTTTTCTTCCCAGCCACCCTCAACCTATAATCTTCAAAACAAAATTCAGAGTGACAAGGAGCACATTTAGCACACATAGCTTGATCTTATTTTCAACAAAGGGTCAACACGCAAAAAGGCAGACAAGTGTCTACTGCTTAGGTCATTCAAATGGCAGAAACTGCAATGGTATACCAGGACTCAAGGTATTCTACCATGGATTTTTGAGTGGGGAAAACAGAAAGTCTAACAAACTGGTCTCTAAGTAGCATAGTAAAATAAATTATGAAATCCAACATTATTTATTAAAATGAATTTTGACCCAGCTATACCCCCAGGAAGTATCCTTTTCTTTCAATCCATCTAGATCCTTCTCCTCAAATGCCCACTTGATTGTTCATAGAAAGGATTAGAAGGTCTACAGAGTATTCCGGGACTTGCCATGTAAGTGGGAGGAAAAGGTGTTAAATTCTGCTGAGTATCATGGTTAGAAATAAGATTGAACATAGTATTGAAACTTTCACCTCATATTCCTCTTTGAACCCATAGCTGTCTGATGTCTTCATGAGATTAATGTGCTGCAGTAAGTCGGCTACCCTGATGGCTGGGTGCAGCTGTCCCGTCTGGTAAGGGGATTCTGTCCCCTCACACAGGTAGCGAGGTACATCAAGAAGACGACTGGATTCTGCTGTAGCACTGTGGTTCTCATCTGCCATGTTTCAGATTCCAGAAGATTAAAAAAAAGACAAAGTTACCTTGTTTAATATGTATCTATGCAAAGCAGATTTTAAGATCTTATGATCTTTCTGATAATAGGAGGAAGAAAGAAATATAGTACAGACCTAGGGCAGCATCCCTATAAAGACAAAACCTTTTACTCCAGGTGGGAGGTCAGGGCATATTATTAATATGTGTATATAAGCAAGACAACAGATGCTGGGAGATGTAGAGAAACAGCTGATCCACTTTAAAGAAGTTTAAGTGGGAGATTTTGCTGAGTTCTGACTTTTTTCTTGTATCTGCAGTCATAGCAGTATATTGTGGGACGAGAAGATCAAGTTGTCAATTGCAGAGGTGTTTTCATTGTTGATTAAACTGAACAAATTCTTTCCCATCCATATCCCTCCCAATAGGCAACCCATCCCCACTGTAGTCCTACTATGCCCTTCCACCTGGGACTTTTTACCATGAAACACTCCAGACTCAGAAACTTGAACATTTTACAGAATCAGCCCATGGCCCACTACGTCTGCTAGCCAGGTTACACGTGCATTTACACTTCATCTCTACTCCCCTGGTTTATTATTATTGCTCTATTTTTCTATTGCTGATACATTTTGACTCTTCTGGTTACTGTGTACAAGAAACCTTGGTTTGTCTCTGGGACAAAATATTTATATTCTTCTGGAATTCCTCCATGGCCCATCTTGGCTGAGTTACATAGCGCCTGCTTTATGTTCCCATGGCCTTCTGTTCTCCTACATTCATTTCACTTACAATGTATTTTGATTATTTATTTCCTGATCTCTTTTTATAACTAAACTCTAAATGTTTAGCATGTAGAGACAAGAGTCATATTTTTCTTTTTATTCTTACTGTCTGGTAAAAGCAGTCACTCAATAAATATTTCAATACTGCAATGAATCAATTAGTTACAAATCCATTAAATCCCTCACCACCCACATTTAAGTGCAGGCCCCATCCCAACTATGTTGTTAGCTTAAAATGAAAAGAAACTCTTAAGTCTCTGTCATAAGAAGGAAGAAAAGAACAAGAACATTTTACCTCTGAAAAATAAATATTATTTTAATGACCACAGTGCTAATCATTACAGCGAGAAGAGGCATGCTTATAATGATCACATTTAAACTTACCATCTTCAAAAAAACAAATGTTTTAAGGGGTGTTACTTTGGCAAACATTATAGTGCCATACTCATTAACAGAAGAGAAAGTACACTCTTAGGGAAAATTTGTTTTAATGATACTGCATACTGTAGAGAACGATATTTAGTTAACAGTTAAACATATTTCAAGTGCTGGTACATTTGCCTGTTCTATCACCAACTCTACAAATAGGATATGGCAAAAAATGAATTGTTGTCCCCATGATAAACACTTTTTCTTCCTGGAGAAGGAAAAAAAAAAAAAGAAAAAGAACCCCACAATCAGATTTGTGTGCTTCTATAATTTAGCTTGATTGCATTTACTTTACTTTCTCTTACTAGGCTGAACGTAGTTTTTTCTTTTGCATTTACTTATAAAATTCCACATTGAATTAAAAAAAAAAAATTCGGTTGGATTCTGTTGTGACCTAAAAATACCTAAACGAATTAATGCTTTTTACTCTGGATTCCCACCCCTCTACACACAAACATTTGCTAGCAACCATGATTCATGAGCGTTTACTATTTTTTCTTTGAGACAACACTCAATTGGTCTACCTTTGCTAAAATACTGCAATCAATAGACTGACATAAAGAAATATACATCTCCCCTGTAAAACTAAATCCAGAAGCCACTGATTGGGGCACTATCACAGAATATACAGCTTAGGATAAGAAGTAAAGAGAACAGAATGTTAGGAAGGCAAAATGCAATCACCCAAGCTGGAATAAAGGTAGCAAGTGCTCTGAGAAGCAGACCCAGAGCTCACATTGAACTTGCTGGAGCAGTGGAATATTTACATTTGTAAAAGGCTCGGTAAGAAACAGAGGACTCATCCGTATTCCAGATCTTACATGACAACATCTCCATATGAAGTAGACAGGGCCTTTTGTTTTGCATTAAGCTTTAATACAGTAGTACAATGAGCAGTACTTTTTAAAATAATCACACATGATTATTAATATCTATACATTTCTACCTCACCTCATTGAATTACCTAACAATGCGACTACAAGCAAGAGTACATGTACTAATTATTATCCTTACTACACATTTAAGAATAACTTTAAATATTTCTTTGATGGAAATGTCTTCTAGAGTTCTTTGCAATACACTTACCAGTAATAGGGACTTTAACCCAATGCAGCAGTAAAACACAAAAAAACAAAAATATGAATCAATACAAAAGTTTCTGACTTCTTTTTAAATCAGTAAGCAGGTATTAATATCAAGCAATATTTGAAGTGATTTCAAAAATTGCTTTATAAGTACAAAATCAACTGGATGTAAAACAACTATAAACACGGTGATTCCAAGAATGATGAAAAATGCAACAAATCATTTCTAAATTTGGTATGATTAACAAGTTATTTAGCTTTCAAATAAGAAATATAAAAAATATCAACCAGCTTGACTTACAAAATGAAATAAAATGAACAATGATTGTTTAAATGAATAGATTTATAACTCTGTTGTGTTAACTCTAGCCTTCCTTAAAAATAAATATCCTCTTTCATGGGGAAAATTATTACAATAATATTTTAAACTTTATACATTATCATTTTCTCTTTACTAAGCTCTGTGGAGAAGGTATGGTAAGAATTATTATATCATTTTATTGAAGGGGAAGCAAAGACATTTTTCATGAATATTTTCATGAGTTCATATTTGTGAGTTCACAAGAGGACTGAGACTTATTAGACCCAATTCTACATGTCTTTGAATAATACCATGATGAAATTTTAACAGTTAAGTAACTATCTTTTTCCTTGAATTTTTAATAACTTCACTGAATTTAACTTATGAGCTTGATGCTGACCTCATTCTACAGTGCTCAACAGAAGATGACATTTTCAGAGTAATTTGATGCCTCTCAAAAGACCATGATTCCTGGCTTCTCCCTATATGATCAGGCCATCCTTTGGGGCAAATTCCCCAGCTCACTTCCCTGCCCTTTTTGCTGGGAATATCAAAGGAAGAGTGCAGTCAGAGACAGAAAATACTGACTTATAGATTCTTTGAGAATATACCTTTGTATTATAAAATTTTAACTTTTAATAACTATTTTAGTCATTTTATAGGTATATTTTACTTAACTGAGTTGTATTGTTCTATTAAACACTGAATACATTGATGATAAAAATATGTGTAAACTGATGTCTTATGTTCAAAGAAATTTAAATATAAAGTATGAGAACTGGGAATTTTAAAGGTACACTTATCTGGCAATTTCTACATTTCTCTGATTAAATCTTAAATGTTAGAAGCATGGGGGGACAAACTGATAAGACAACTTGTGAACGTTGAAGCCAGCTGGTCATGAATCATTGCTGTGTAATTAGTCAAGGGATAGAGTACAAATCGAAATGAAACTCACTGCATTCTTAAATATACTGTAAAAGATGTATTTAATTTTACAGCTGAAATGGCCTTATTTATTACTAGCAATGCTAGCTGTCTTAGATGTTACATACTGGTGGTGCTAGTTGCTCAGTCGTGGCCAAGTCTGCGACTCCATGGACTGTAGGCCGCCAGGCTTCTCTGGTCATGAAATTCTCCAGGCAAGAATTCTGGAGTGGGTTGCCATTTCCTTCTCTAATGTGCGGTAAATCTTGGCTTAATGTAAATTTTTTGAAAGATAACACTTATCATGTAAAGTGCATATAGAATGCAACACTCCATTATTAATACTGTTGCAATTTTACCTGCATTTATACATTCTTAACTAAGACAAAACTAAAGCAAATGCACAAATGCCTAATGTTTACTTGGAAATGTATTTTTTAGTTGTTATAAAATTAGGAGGATTTAGAAAAATCCCTTTAAATCAGGTATATTTTATATATATACACTAGCGATTCTGGTAGCACTGGCCCCTGAAATGTGCACATTTGGATTCATTCTACTAACTTACATATATAAACATTAATCGGAAAAGGAGTGCGTCAAGGCTGTATATTGTCACCATGCTTATTTAACTTATATGCAGAGTACATCATGAGAAACGCTGGGCTGGAGGAAGCACAAGCTGGAATCAAGATGGCCGGGAGAAATATCAATAACCTCAGATATGCAGATGACACCACCCTTACGGCAGAAAATGAAGAGGAACTAAAAAGCCTCTTGATGAAAGTGAAAGAGGAGAGTGAAGAAGTTGGCTTAAAGCTCAACATCCAGAAAACTAAGATCATGGCATCTGGTCCCATCACCTCATGGGAAATAGATGGGGAAACAATGGAAGCAGTGTCAGACTTTATTTTCTTGGCTCCAAAATCACTGCTGAGGGTGATTGCAGCCATGAAATTAAAAGACGCTTACTCCTTGGAAGGAAAGTTATGACCAACCTAGATAGCATATTAAAAAGCAAAGACATTACTTTGCCAACAAAGGTCCGTCTAGTGAAGGCTATGGTTTTTCCAGGGGTCATGTATGGATGTGAGAGTTGGACTGTGAAGAAAGCTGAGCACCGAAAAATTGATGCTTTTGAACTATGGTGTCGGAGAAGACTCTTGAGAGTCCCTTGGACTGCAAGCAGATCCAACCAGTCCATCCTAAAGGAGATCAGTCCTGGGTGTTCACTGGAAGGACTGATGATGAGGTTGAAACTCCAATACTTTGGCCACCTCATGGAAGAGTTGACTCATTGGAAAAGACCCTGATGCTGGGAGGGATTGGGGACAGGAGGAGAAGGGGACGACAGAGGATGAGATGGCTGGATGGCGTCACTGACTCAATGAACATGAGTTTGAGTAAACTTCGGGAGTTGGTGATGGACAGGGAGGCCTGGTGTGCTGCGATTCATGGGGTCGCCAAGAGTCAGACACGACTGAGAGACTGAACTGAACTGATATATTCATAGTAAGGGTCCTTGTACTCACTTCAAATCTAACAGAACCAAGAATTAAAGGATAAGTTGTTTTAAAAAAGTATACCCAACTAGTTTGAAATGCACTAGATCTAATTGGGCTGATCACAATGGCTCTCTTTGATAAAATCAGGACTATATTTTCAAAATCAAACTGCTTCCTGCAGTGTAAATACCATGAGGACAAAGCTGTGACCCATGCAAGGAGGTGGGGTCCATGCAGAAAAGAAGGCAGAGAGTCAGGGCCTCACCTAACACGGCGGTCGGCACGAGCGGATCACTGGGCACTGCAGGAAAACACAGCTCATGAAGGAACAAATTGCCCTAAAGTTATATTTCATATTCTTTTTCCCTTTAAGATAGACTCATCATTTCTTAAGAAATATAACTATTAAACTTTCTTTATGACTATAACTATTAACTGTAACTTTATTACTATTACTATAATCACTGCAAAGGGAACATTCTCTTTCTCAACTTGGGTTACCTCAAAATACCAGGAAAGGTGCATCTATAATTATAGTTCAGTAGTCAGTCCAATTTTAAAAACCAAGAAGATTCAACTTCAACTTATAAATATTTTAAAATTAGGGGGAAAAAGTGCATTTAGGTCTATCCAGTGTAAGGTACTTAGGTAATTACATTCATTCCACTTTATCTAACTTTGGAAAATAGATTTAATCCTTTCTCCAAGTTCATAAGTGTATATTTATAGATACACTGCTAAATTCAAGCTTCTTAATAAGGTATACAGGCATTAGATAGAAAAACTTTGGAAACAAAAATCCTTTCAAATCTTTAATTGATTAATTTTTAAATCAAGTGGCTAGAGAAATGATACATCTATACTTTTAGCAAAACTTTCAATAGCAACAATGTTTTATGTTTTTCTCTATTATTTATCTTACAGTGAAAAAAAATAGAACAGATCAGAAAGTCCTTATCACTATTAAAACTAAATTCCAAAATGACTCATTATAAAATCCTTAACTACTAATGTGATATAGGTATATATCAGGGAAAATCATGGCCAATAATTGTTTAAAATTGCACCAAGCTGAACATTTCAGAAAAAACATCCCCTTTTGAAAAGCCATAAATTCATAAACCTACAAATACTTTCTTTTCTCAGTCTTACCACTACATATTTTTATAATCTGTATTGAAAATAACACTTCTATTGTTGGCTTCTTTCCTTATACAGTTTTTCCCAAACTGGGATCTGTGGCAAATGCCTCTGTGAACACAAGGCCAAGGATAAACACAATTTGCTTTCCTCAAGTACCAATTTCACTTAGCTATTTGAAGAGACAATCAGGTAACTGAACTTAATTTTAAGTAACAAAATAAACACAGTGCTATAGAATGGGATTAAAAAAATTCTAGAAAATTTGAAGGTAAACAGTAATACTGATCATGGGGCATTAAACAATACTTCAGAGGAACTGTTTTAAAAGATATGTCTCCACAGATAAACATTTGCAATTCTTAACACAGATGAGTGAATAGATGGATTTCACCATTCCCTGTCAATCCCTCAGTTCAAGTAAACTTTTGGACTTCACACCAGATACCTAGCAGTATGTAGATTTCTCTTTTCTCTGGTTAACTTTTTATTACTGAAATTCCTGAGGCATCTATAGAATAATTAAATAGAATGACTTTCCCCATGCCAATAATTCCCAGAAAGAATTATGGTATTTCATATCTCAAAAGACTTAACCTTATACAATGGAAGATTCAAATACAAAACAACTATAAATTCTGACATGAGCTAATTTTATGCAGGCCATCAAATATTTTAACTTAAAGCAAGAAGATTTGGTCTGAGTGGTGTATGAACGTCTCTTATAGTAATAAAATTCATACAGTTAGAATTTAAACTAAATCCAAAATCAAGACTGAAAATAAGCCTTCTGATAAACTCCATAGTAATCCATATCACTTTTTCTATTTCTAGTTTCTTCTTCCACTCTCTGCCTTGTTTCCCCTCACTATTCAAAAGCTAATGTGTTGAATTCAGGGAGAAATTAAATAGCTTTAAAAGTCATTGATCAAAATTTTGATAAAGAACTTACATCTTGGACTAAAATTATGTTGGTCCATGAAGGTGATGGAGAGCGGGTCTTCTGCATGCAGAGTGCTCTGATCAGCATAACTTCGGTCCATAGCATTGACCATGTGAGTCATTTCCTGCCGGGCGTTCCCCATCGCATCTTTGCGTTTCTTAGCAAGCTTGCTGCCAAGACAAATATGAAAGGGAAACCTTAGCGTGAGGCTTGAAGGGGAACTGACTTGACACCAGCAGTAAGTAGTTTAGGAAAGCCCGAGCGTAAAGATATAGATTCGGTTTAGAAACTCTAAGAATATATCATAGTTTCAGGAATAAAGTTTGACATCTAAGCAATATTTGTTGATTGCTATAAAATTGTTTTATTTGTCATATGGATATATTAACATTCAAGCTGTCAACCCAAATGTCTCATCGTTTCTTGCATTTTATCATTACAATAAATTATCATAAAGCACAACTATACTTTATTAAAACAGTAAGTAAATGCTTCCTTAGTAGAGTTGTTCAAAGAAAAGTTAATGCTAAATTTTGGTTTTCCTTCTGGGTGATTAATACGCTTGATCAAAATTTCAGAAAATGTTCTTTGGGAATAACATGATGACTTTTTCAAGTTTATTTTATTACAGTCATCCAGTTAAAATAGACAAACTCTATTCTTCACTCTTTGTCTTTTGTTCGGTAAAAATGCAATGTGTAGAATTCACATTTTAAAATATATTTATATAACATTAATACAAACCTAATCAGGAAATTGTAGAATCAACTGCAGCTTGATAACAATGCAAACACTCAGGAATATACGGGAAAATTATGCACTTTATAAGAAAAGCACTTTGAGAAAAGTTTAGAAAATGCCATGTAGAAGTATTATGCAAATGAGTAATAAACATGGTCAGATCCTAAAAATATGTTTAGGAGCCCTATGGCAGAGGGCCAACTATAGAACAGCCTTACAGATGCCGCAGAACAAATGACCCAGGAGATCTGGAAATGAGCAGAGTTACACTCTGAGCTCCTCAGACACTGACATCTTTATCTTACATATCAAGGGTGTGAAATACAATCTGGTTCGTTGTGAATGTTACACATGAAACATGCAATTAAAAAACTATTTAAGGTATATAAATATTCATCTCATAATAGTAAAAAGAAAGGGACTCTAAATACCTATAGTAGCCAGATTATGTTTCTAAGTTTATGACAACAGTTTAGGTGCGTTGGAAATATACTTTAGCTATTTTAAGAATAACATTTCTCAGTTGGATTATTAACTAGGGTAAATTCTTCTGATTCTCATTAGTATCTGTACGAGAATAAATACACTAACATACTACAAATATGTTAAAAAAGTGATTTATTTTAGTAGTTGTGTTTATGTCCAAAAGCTTTTCCTTTAGAAAATTAATTTATTAATTTGAGAGCTACTCATATGTAGGATATTTTTCTCTGAGAATTATAGTACTTAGCCTCAAGGATACATACCCAACAAAATCCAATATATTGACATAGCATATATGACACCTAAGTAAGATAGTCATAGAGTAAGCTTTAGGGATGGAAATGGCATTATACATTTTAGAAATAATAACAATGATAAGGACAGTATTATCAATAATAAAACAATGACAAAAGTATAACAAAAACTATCACCATCACCACTAGCACGACCACTACATCATCACAACCACCATCACCACCACCATCATTTAGTAGCAATATTTGCTTTATTCATTAAAAGATCTCTTACCTTTTTTTTCTAGGCTAGCGGGCAAAAGCTCTGTAAAGCTCCTAACAGGTTTTAGACGGCATATAGAAGTGTTGCTTCCTGTCGTGAGGCACCACAAGGAAGGGTGGAGACAGTGGGGAACTGGAGAGCAATTTAGGGGGCAACTTACCTACGTGAACACTGGCACCTGATCCCAGAGTGGTTTCTAATTTTAAAATTATTTTTAAAGAGAGGTCATGAATCTAAATATGTATATTTTCTTATTCTTTCAAGTGGTCCTATTTTTTGGAAGAGTGTATGGGGCAAATTACACATCAGTAGGTCATAGGTTATTCTACAGCCTTCACTTTTCAAACTTACCTCTAAGGATAGTTCCAAACTTGCCTATAGGCTATTTGTTCTTTGACCTATAATCTTCTTTTACCTCTAATATCTGGTTAACTTACAATTCTGTCCTGCTTCATCAGGGAGACTTCTCTAACTGAGCAAATACAACCTTTCTCAGACTAGGTTTCCCTGGTAGGTATTTTTTAAAGCACCATGTTTTCTGCCTATAATAATACTCATCACATCACTGCAAGTATCCTTTTGTTTTTCCCACTGCGTGTTCCATGAAGGGAAGAACCCTCTGCATAGCCCTAGAGCTCAGAGCAGCGTCTGGCACATAGCAGACACTCATTAAAAACTTGTTAGAATGGATGAATGAGGTCTCTGATAGGCTCGGCACTTGTCATGTGTTAACTCAATTAATTCTCAGATCAATGCACTGAAGAAGGCATGAGATTTCTAATTGTACAGATGAGTTCACTGAGGCTTAGACAAGTTAAATAACTTGCCCAAGGTTATTAATCTAATAAAGCAGTAAAGAATGACCTGGTTCCAAGGCCTAAGCCCTAATACTATATCCAGTTCCTCTTTTTTAATTGTCACATTACCATGTGTATTATAATATGAAGCAGTCATTGCTCTAGGAGTTAAACATTAGTTGTTATAAATTTGAGAAGAATGTGGATGTAACACAAATGCTTTGCCATTTTAAAGTTTAAAAAAGAGTTGAAGAAATAACTTTCAATCTGTTTCTTAGATAAGAAGAAAGAAGAAATTCATTCCTCAAAAATTCTGAGAGATTGACGTGGCTAAAAATAAGACAGCTTGAAATTTGGATTAAAAACAATGTAAAAAATCTGAAGACAGATAGTTTGAAGCAAATGGTAAAGACGTTTAAATTTTGAGGCTTTACTTTAAAATGTATCATTTAAACATTTTATGATTGAGAAAAATAAGAAGTAATGAACTTGTCAAAACGCATGATAGGTAAAAGTTTTCATGGCAATGAAGGACTTTTACTTTTCAGATTCACAAACCTTTGTTAGTAGACAGATTATGAGAGAATACATATAAAACCTTTGTTGATATCTGCCAACCATGTATTATCAGCTTTTTCTTATACCTTAATCCTCACAACAACCCTGTGAGGTAGGCTTTAATTCAGGTTATTACAAAAGAAATAAATATCATCACCAGAGTTAAGTGCTTTGATCAAGAAGTGACAGTTACTATGACGATGTCAATGAATTTTTAGTTCAAAAATTACATCTGATTTACTTTTAAATTTTACTAAAATTTATTTCTACATTTCTTTTAAAAACTGTCTAATTCAGATTTGCTTCACTAGATCTGTTTAAGCAGCTTTTAAAAACATAAGTCTGTTAAACTTTTTTTCTAATTATGATTGATAATGCCAGGAACCCTAAGCACTTCAGTAACAGTACCAAAGCCTAATACATAGTCTAGAATACAGAAATGCCACATATCTATAAAAAGGCAATCCAATCCTAATATTATAGATAAATGGATGGCTAATGGTAACCTTACTGATGTTCTCATACTTAAATATTTATTGATTCCTGCATGTTTGATATTTTGTCTCCATCTGAGAAACCAGCATATATAATGTACGCTTCAGGACAGTTAAGCAGATCATTTTGCAACTACTTGAGTTTGACAGATGTGCAAATGACTTTCATTATCAAAGCAGCCAACAGCATAAACTTCTGCAGGTGGATATATGGGTGGGCTATAAAGAGGAAAAGTGCTTCATCATTGTATGAAATGGTACATTTAATTACCTTTGGCTTCATCAAACATGATTTAATAAGGATATTATGATCCATCACAATAAGCTAGGAGCACTGTTACTTTACACCTGCTTATTTTATCAGATTTTGAAAAGCCAAATGTTTGTAATATTTAAACTGTTGGCAGAATTCTGTTACAGTCATTGAGACTCTCACCAAATCTTTCTGTAATGCTAACTTAAATTTACTTAGTGAAGTAAATACTGTGGGATATGTGCACCAAATACTTAATCAAAATCCTTTACTCTCAAAATTTGGTGGATCAAATATTGATCAAGCAATGACCAAGAATACTCTGTTGTATCATTCCTTTGGATTGAATATATATGCTGGAATTTAAGGTAATAAGCTGAGAATGATTAGTGGGAGAAACTGGACAACACTCTCTTCCTCATCAAGAGTAGCATTTCATACCTAAGCATAGAAGAGCTAAAACTTTGCAGCACAAAAAAGGATATGTAACACCTATTATGTTTTGTTTAGGTTGACAGGCTTGCTTTTTTGGTCTTGGTTTTACAAAATCATTGTCCTATTTAAGTCATAATAAACAAACTCAAAACTTCTTCTCTAAAAAGATTTTTTATTTATCACTGCCACATTATAATTCTTATCCATTGGTTTTCACCAGAGCATACTGATTGCCTACATAGCTAAACCAAAGGTGTTCTGAAGTCACAACCCATCCCAGATTCCTGGAAATGTGGAGAGAAGTTATCAAGTCAGACCTGACCTGATTTGCATTCTGTGAAGGCATTTTGAATGTTCTTCTATGAATACATCAGTTGGGTCATTTTGTTGGATATAACAGTGTAGCTCAGGCAGTAAAGAATACGCCTGCAATGGGGGAGACCTGGGTTTGAGCCCTGGGTTGGGAAGATCCCCTGGAGGAGGCCATGGCAACCCACTCCAGCATTCTTGCCTGGAGAATCCCATGGACAGAGGAGCCTGACAGGCTACAGTCCATGGGGTTGCAAAGAGTCAGACACGACTGAACAACTAAAGCACACACATGTAAAAATAGGTATTAGTGAATTGCAACCACTATCTCTACCAGATGAGTGAGATATCATATTGATAATGTACGGGTTTGACTTAAGTATATAAATGATGCTTTGGGCTATAGACTATGACTACTTATGGAAAATCGTAAATAAAAATTAAAAGTAGCTGAACATACAGAAATACAATATCCCTTTTTAAAAAGATTAATAAAATAGGTTAATAGGTAAACTTTATAGCTTTAGAGTCCAGAAAAATATATTTTTTTGCAGTCATCAAAATTGCAAACATTCTGTTTTTTGGTTTGTTGTTTTTTTGAAAAGGGATACTGCATCTTTAACACATGTAAAGTCGTATATCACCCATTTTCTACTTACAGGTAGTAGGAGTAAGAATAGTAGCTCCTCCTGGCAAGCAAATCACAGACAGTGGAAAAAGAGAAGCAATGGTGAATGAAAAGCGTGACTCTGTCACATTCAATAAAGCAGAAAAATGTGCGTTAAAAAGTAAAATAAAATAAAATAAAATTCATGTTTTTTTTTGGTCTGGATTTCAATTTGCTCATGCATTGGTTAGATATCTTTTGCCATGCAATTAAACAGACATATGCAATAGAAAATAAAATTTAAAATACATAATTTGGAAAAATAACATGCTGACTTTTCTATAGCCAAAAAAATTGAAAAATTAAATGGATTGTGTATTTTTAACATGCAGTTAAGCATAATATCATCCATAACCATCTAAATGTCATGACAGATGGAATAGCTGTGTATAGAACTTCTACACTAAATTGACTATTTTTCTTTAAATACAAAATGTAAAGACCTATTAGGTTAATACAGAATATATGCAGAATGACACCTTAATTTCTATAAATAAGTCATTATATCTTATTAATATACGGGTACATACATATATTATGTGAATATACATATGCACCATATACTACAAATGCACAAAGGTGTTTCTACAGCAGATGTATGTGACCATGATATCATATACATTTACTGTACTGAAACACAATTTCAAATTTATGTTTGGAATTATTAATGTATTCATGCTGCAAATTTAAAATAATACATAACCAATGAAAAAATGGCATACATTTGGAAATAATTCAACAGTGATTAAATTAAAATGACTTTGCGTTTTGAAAGATGCAATATCCCTTTTCTTAGCCTAAAAACTTACTTTATATATACCCTTCACTGCAGAATTTTACTAAATTCCAAACCATTTCTTTATACAACAACCAAAAATACACAGAATTTTTTTCAACATGAGAAATATACCTACATATATTACTTCTAGTGAGAGATAAAGTCTTGAGAAACTTAATTTCCCATAAAAGTAAAGATAATGCAAGGCTAAAATAATTTGCTTTTCTATTATTTTTACTATAAATTTGTATATTAGCATATCATATAGGGAGACTACATGATGTACTAAAATTGATAACTTTGATCCTAACATTGTTATAATACCTATATCTTCGTGTATGTATAATAAACATATTTATGATTAGATCATACACAATATATGTGTGATATACTATGTATATATAACTAACAGTTATTATGAAGTTTCTTAGATAAGTAAGGGATTCTTGGTTATATTATATAGAAGATAATATACCTAAGCATGTAACTTTATGTACCTATAAAATTGCAACTTCTCTAGTCCTAGAGGTAGTGATGAGGAAAAGAGAAAAAAAAAAGAAAAAAAAACAAAATCCCTAGCATAGTTTCTAGTAGAAGACAATCAATTAAAGCATAATTATGAAAACTCAAACATTAAACATTTTAATAGAGAGGCTCATCTATCCAACCATTTAAAATATGAACCAGGAAAAGAATTTGATGCATTAGGCAGTTTTAGAGAGTGTCAGAGCATTTTAACCACACAGAAAAATCATGCTTAGAGATTGTTTTGATGTACTTTAAAAAATTTATGTTTCATTTTTGGTTATTTTTGAAACAGACAGCCACAGATTAGAAAGGCTACAACAACAAATGAGTGCTTTCAAATAATTAACCAATAAAACCAGTATTAACCCAATTTTAACTAAGACATAACCAGAGGTCATTTTCATGTTTTCATATCCAGCCTGAAGTAGCTGAAATACTTTTAACTCTAAAGCAAAGTTAACTCTCTAAATATAGAGTTTAGTTTAACTCTTGAATATAAATTTAAACTAAGTAGAAACATAAGATCTGAAAGTTGTATGCAATGATTTTATTGATCTTGATTGGCAAATTTATTAGTAAAGTGTTTAAACCTTCCTGTCTCAAATATGATATAATTTCCAACCACAGAGGTAGACAACAGCAAAAAGAGAAAGCACTATTGGGGAAAGCACGTATGTAGCTAATTTAACACAAAACACTATAATGCATACCTAATGTTTCTAATGCAGATGTGTCTTCTCCAACATATATATCTCCAGGGGGTAATTGTAAAGAGGCAATACATTAAAATAAACTCTTATGGAATCATTAAACATGTAGTATGAGTCATCTATATTATTAATGATTTATTTTGAGTACAAAATAACAATCATAATAGTATATTATATGATTTAGTATGAAGTAAGCAACATCTTTTATTATATTCAATATAATTAATGAATGAGAAATACGTCTATACACCAATATTTTAGAACTATACTCAGCAAAGATTTTTTAGTAATCCTTCCAGATTGTAATATTGTTAAAACATATAATTGGAAGGATTGGAGAGTTCCATTAATTTCTAAAACAATGCCTTACAGATAATGATATTTTATAGAATAAGAAAAAGTTCAAATTAAAAAAACTATATTTTTTGAAATGCTTTCTAGTAGAAGTATACCTTAATCTACCAAATATAATTCAATTTAAATTCCTGTAGGTCTTAATATCTTCATATACTTCCAGAAGATGGCGATATTGGTTGTTATAGTATAAAACACTAATGCTCAATTTAAAAATTTGGTTCTTCATATTAAAGTGCTAAAGTATTTAGTCAGTGAATATTAATGTACAACTTCATAAAATAATATTCATATTTCTCATATCTTATTTGTAGTCAACATTTAGAAAAACAGTAAAAGTACAAAATAATTCATATACCAAATATCATAATAAACTCTAATTTTGCCATGCGTAATAAAAAAACCTTCAAAACATAAGATACATTAATATCGCAAGCATTTGAGGAATTTAAATTCATACATTGATTTCAAGGTTAAATTGACAAAAGCATATTTTATATCCAAAATTAAACTGCAAATAACCAATTAGAATTTATTTTCCAAGCAGGGGAAATATACTTAGAAGCTGGCAATATTTTTAAAATTCAATTCTTGTTGTTTATTCTCATTTAAAAAGAGCTCAGGGAAATAAAGAAGTGTCTGAAAACTGGTAACCGTGACAGAAATGGTGAGTGAGTGGGACAGAACAAAATCAGGTCTTACCTCTTTTTCACAATTAATATGACTACGAGGAGGAGGAGGATGAACACCAGAATCCCAGCACTAATGCCTGCGATTTTCACCACTCTGTCAGTCTGCTTGGCTGGGTCTGGAATCACTTCTGGCTCTTCTGTTGCTGCTGCTAAATGAATAAAAAAATAAATTACTGAAAGTAGCTAATTATCACAGAAAGGAAAATTATTCCCAGCTAAGTATTACTACAGAAGGACAATTTATTTTATTTGAATAAAAGTAACTCGAAAATATAAATATGGTAGCATGCTAAACTCCAACATGAGAGATTTAAGGTTAAGGGAAGTATTTTTTGAAGAGAGTGTTGTTAACATAAAAAAATAAAGGGAATGGTGAAATATTTTCCTTCAAGTGTCCTTAAGAGTAAGGACACAGGATTTTTAGCCAAGAGTATGGTGGAAAGAGATGAGGTTGGATTTAGAGATTCATTCTTTTATCACTTCATTCAACAAGTACTTCTCTGCTCCAATGCAAGGTGCCATGCATGACCCTTTAAGGTAGTGTCAATGGCATTTATCTTGGATACAGAGGGTTTTAGTGTAAGTGCTAGAGGTGTGCGTTTATGATATGATTTAAAAGATTTGAAATAAATCGCTGATTTGGAGGAAGACAAGAATAACCAATGGAAAACAAATTTGTCAGGGAATATTTCACATCCTCTTAACAAATAAAATCCAGAATACAAACTTGAAAAACAGAACACTGAGAAGATGAAAGTTTTTTTTTTTTAAACTCTTTCTGTCTCCTCACTTTCTTTCTTTCTCAAAGCAACCACCATTCCTCACAAACAAAAACAATTAATATTACAAATCTTAAAGAAATCTACAAGCTCCACTAAGCCTCTGAAGACATTTTTCTTTTATTTGCCTTGAAAACTGGCAAGGAAAACATTATTATCTACATTTTACAGATTAAAAAAACAACAACAACAACTGAGGCTTAGAGATACGGAATAAATTGTAAATTGCTCAAGAACAGAGACAAAATCTAACACATCTTCTAAAGCAGCATGTTTCCAGGCCCATGGCCCCTTCTTGCTAAGAATCGATGTGACAAGAGAACAGGTGATTCTTAGAATTACGCACATTTAGGAAACTGCTTTAAAGCAGCCATCACAGCGTCAAGAGATGCTGGCTGAATGAACAAACAAGGGGATCCCTAAATCTATCCTCAGACCTTTCTAGTGGATAATTAAATTCCCTTTTACAAAGTATCCATTTTTCTATATTCAATCCTTTCTTCTTTAGCTTTTCTCTCTTGGTTTCTTCTTCCAATCTCTTCTTTCACTCCCAAACCCGCACATTTAAATATCTGCTCCAGTGTTTCAACTAGGCACAGTCTCCTCCCAAAGGGGACTGACATAGGTTGTTAACTTTTAATTTATCCAAGGAGAAAATGAAAAAGAACTAATAAATCCAGTATCAGTATCATTTCATAAAATGGCAATGTAAAGGTATATCAGTAGGAAACATAGTTTGAAGAAAAGTGTTACAGAGAACACAGTTAATTCTCCAAAGTAATTCACTATAACCATCTTAACATATTATTTTGATAGGATAGGATAAAATTCCCCACGGACCAGTATAAGATAACTATAATTCTCAAGAAAGAAAAGCAAGCCTTCAGTTTGTTTCTTCATTAAGCAAGGGAGTTATCCTTTCTGACGACACTTGCCATATATCCAGGCTTCAGGGAATTTCCAATTTCAAATAGAGGTTCAGTTCAGTTCATTCACTCAGTTGCTTCTGACTCTGAGACCCCCATGGACTGCAGCACACCATGCTTCCCTGTCCATCACCAGCTCCCAGAGCTTGCTCAAACTCATGCCCATTGATTCAGTGATGCCATCCAACCATCTCATCCTCTGTCGTCCCCTTCTCCTGCCTTCAATCTTTCAAGCATCAGGGGCTTTCCAGTGAGTCAATACTTTGCATCAGGTGGCCAAAGTATGGAGTTTCAGCTTCAGCATCAGTCCTTCCAATGAATATTCAGGACTGATTTCTGTCCAGGATTGACTGGTTTGATCTCCTTGTAGTCCAAGGGACTCTCAAGAGTCTTCTCCAACACCACAGTTTAAAAGCATCAATTCTTTGGCACTCAGCTTCCTTTATAGTCCAATTCTCACATCTGTACATGACTATTAGAAAAACCATAGCTTTGAGTAGTGGACCTTTGTTGGCAAAGTAATGTCTCTGCTTTTTAATATGCCATCTAGATTGGCCATAGCTTTTTTCCCAAGGAGCAAGCGCCTTTTAATTTCATGGCTGCAGTCACCATCTGCAGTGATTTTGGAGCCTAAGAAAATAAAGTCTGTCACTGTTTCCATTTTTTTTTCCCATCTATTATCCATGAAGTGACGGGACTGGATGCCATGATCTTAGTTTTTTGAGTGTTGAGTTTTAAGCCAGCTTTTTCACTCTCCTTTTTCACTTTCAACAAGAGGCTCTTCAGTTCCTTTTTGCTGTCTGCCATAAGGGTGGTGTCATTTGCGTATCTGAAGTTACTGATATTTCTCCTGGCAATCTGGATTCCAGCTTGTGCTTCATCAAGCCCAGCACTTGGGATGATGTACTCTGCATATAAGTTAAATAAGCAGGGTGACAACATACAGCTTTGGCGTACTCCTTTCCCAATTTGGAACCAGTCCTTTGTCCCATGTCTGGTTCTAACTGTTGCTTCTTGACCTGCATACAGATTTCTCAGGGGGCAGGTCAGGTGGTCTGGTATTCCAATCTCTTGAAGAATTTTCCACAGTTGTGATCCACACAGTCAAAGGCTTTGATGTAGTCAATAAAGCAGAAATAGATGTTTTTCTGGAACTCTTGCTTTTTCTATGATCCAATGAATGTTGTTAATTTGATGTCTGGTACCCCTGCCTTTTCTAACTCCAGCTTGAACATCTGGAAGTTCACAGTTCATGTACTGTGAAGCCTGGCTTGGAGAATTTTGAGCATTACTTTGCCAGTGTAGATGAGTGCAATTGTGCAGTAGTTTGAACATTGTTTGGCATTGCCTTTCTTTGGGATTGGAATGAAAATGGACCTTTTCCAGTCCTGTGATCACTCCTGAGTTTTCTAAATTTGCTGGCATATGTGCAAAACTTTGCAACACTTTCACAGCATCATCTTTTAGGATTTGAAATAGCTCAGCTAGAATTCTATCACCTCCACTAGTTTTGTTCATAGTGATGCTTCCTAAGGCCACTTAACTTCTCATTCCAGGATGTCTGGCTCTAGGTGAGTGATCACACCATCGTAAAGATCTTTTCTGTACAGTTCTGTGTACTCTTGCCACCTTTTCTTAATATCTTCTGCTTCTGTTAGGTCCATAGTGCCCATCTTTGCATGAAATGTTGTTCCCTTGGTATCTCTAATTTTCTTCAAGAGATCTCTAGTCTTTCCCCATTCTATTGTTTTCCTCTATTTCTTTGCCCCATCTTTGCATGAAATGTTGTTCCCTTGGTATCTCTAATTTTCTTCAAGAGATCTCTAGTCTTTCCCCATTCTATTGTTTTCCTCTATTTCTTTGCATTGATCACTGAGGAAGGCATTTTTATCTCTCTTTGGTATTCTTTGGAACTCTGCATTCAGATGGGTATTTCTTTCCTTTTCTCCTTTGCCTTTCACTTATCTTCTTTTCTCAGCTATTTTAAGGCCTTCTCAGACAACCATTTTGCCTTGTTGCATTTCTCTTTCTTGGGGATGGTCTTGATCCCTGCCTCCTGTACAATGTCACAAACCTCTGCCCATAGTTCATCAGGCACTCTATCAGATCTAATCCCTTGAATCTATCTGTTACTGCCACTGTATAATCGTCAAGGGATTTGACTAAGGTCATACCTGAATGGTCTAGTGGTTTTCCCTACTTCAGTTTAAGTCTGAATTTTGCAATGAGGAATTCAGGATCTGAGTCACAGTCAGCTCCAGGTCTTGTTTTTTGCTGACTCTATAGAGCTTCTCCATCTTCAGCTGTAAAGAATATAATCAATCTGATTTTGTATTGACCATCTGGTGATGTCCATGTGTAAAGTCATCTCTTGTGTTGTTGGAAGAGGGTGTTTGCTATGGCCAGCGCATTATCTTGGCAAAACTCTGTTAGCCTTTGCTCTGCTTAATTTTGTACTCCAAGGCCAAACTTGCCTGTTACTCCAGGTATCTCCTGACTTCCTACTTTTGCATTCCAGTCCCCTATGATGAAAAGGACACCTTTTTTGGTGTTAATTCTACAAGGTCTTGTAGGTCATCACAGAACCATTCAACTTCAGCTTCTTCAACATTAGCAGCTGGGGCATATACTTGCATTACTGTGATACTGAATGGTTTGCCTTGGAAATGAACAGAGATCATTCTGTCATTTTTGAGATTGTACCCAAGTACTGCATTTCAGACTCTTTTGTTGACTATGAGGGCTACTCCATTTCTTCTAAGGGATTCTTGCCTTCAGTAGTAGATATAATGGTCCTCTGAGTTAAATTCACCCATTCCAGTCCATTTTAGTTCACTGATTCCTAAAATGTCGATGTTCACTCTTGCCATCTCCTGTTTGACCACTTCCAATTTGCCTTGATTCATGGTCCTAACATTCCAGGTTCCTATGCTATATTGTTCTTTACAGCTTTCCTTCCATCACCAGTCATATCCACAACTGGGTGTTGTTTGGTTTGGTTTCTGTCTCTTCATCCTTTCTAGAGTTGTTTCTCTTCTCCAGTAGCATATTGGGGACCTACTGACCTGGGGAGTTCATCTTTCAGTGTCCTATCTTTTTGCCTTTTCATACTGTTCATTGGGTTCTCAAGGCAAGAACACTGAAGTGGTTTGCCATTCCCTTCTCCAGTGGACCGCGTTTTGTCAGAACTGCCCACCATGACCTATCAGTCTTGGTTGGCCCCACCCAGCCTGGCTCATAGTTTCATTGAGTTAGACAAGGCTGTGGTCCATGTGGTCAGTTTGGTAGTTTTCTCTGACTGTGGTTTTCATTCTGTCCTCTGATGGAGAAGGATAAGAGGCTTATGGAAGATTTCTGATGAGAAACTGACTGTGTGGGAAACTGGGTCTTGTTCTGATGTGTGGGGCCATGCTCAGTTAATCTTTAATCCAATTTTCTGTTGAT